CGGGCGACCCTCGCGATGACTGCTTAGCAGGGACCTGAGGACCCTGAGGCAAGGTGGTCTGTGATAGTCCTCGCATAGACCATGGGTCCTCGGTCTACCATTGCTCTCGAGGGTGGACCTCGATGTCTTGCAGGGTCATCTGGCTGTCGTCAGACGGTGCTTTTGCGGCGGTCGCAGGAGGTGAGTCGATTAGTACTGGGGGTTTTCCCACAAGGATCCCCAGACATTTGTGTAGAATCTCTAACGTGGCCTTGATATTGTTGAACCCCAGGGAAAACAAGTCTGCAGGCTCGAATTTTCCTGCGATCATACCCGCCTCGCGAAGAAGGGTCACGAGCGTGTTGATCGCGTCTGTCACCGTCCTCAGCTTGGGAAGGGTTGACACAGGTCCACTGAGCTGACCCAGCAGTCGGATCTCGAGGGCTTTGGTGACGGGGTCGCTCTCCGAGAACGCGTCAAGCTTGATTCGATGGCAGGCCATGGTCACGTCAGCATCCGACTAGGTCAAGGGTAATGAGGTCTAGGGGCCTACCGACTTGGTGTCACCTGGTGCGTTTATCCGGGGCTTGGTCGGCTTGGACATGGCGATCGTAATTTTTTGTAGTTTTTGTATGTACTTAGTTGTTTGGGGACAATAGTCTATCAGTTTTCACCTTTGACTGATTGTCCTCTGGGGCATGATAGATATCATGACCCAAGGTGTCCTCAACGAGGACACAGGGAGGGTATTTCGGTTTCTCTTCAATAAGTTCAACCTTGAACATATTGAACAGGTCCCTCCCAAGGTCCGGTCGGTTCTTCGATCCTTTGTTGTTTCCTTGTGCGGTCACTGGCGATCGGTCTTCCAGTGACTCTTCGGCCTTTTCCTCAATCTTTGCTTGAACATTTCATCTTCTTGGGACTCGCGGTGATATCCCGCGTCTACCGAAGATCCGGGCACGCGCACCACTGTAGTGGAGTGGGTTCTCAAAACTGCGTAATGAGACCCCAAGCCACTCACTGTGCCGGACTGCCGACTGTTGAAGGGGGTACACTATGCCGTGTATAGACCTTCTCTCACCTTGTGTACCCGTCGGCTGTCGGGTTGCACTCTTCGGAGGACTTGGTTGAGATGTGATGTCGGCCTTGAGAGAGGTCGACCTTGGGGTGCCTCGAGTGGGTATACTTTACTCGGCTAGTAGGTGGCCACTCGGTCGACTAGGTCGAGGGTGGGCTTATAACCAAATTCTTCAGGGAAGATACTCAACCCTGGCCTTTTCCTTGATATCTCAGGGGTTTTAACCGCCTGGACCTAACTTGCTCCCGGACCACTAGGGTAGGGAGACCGTTTTCGATAGAGGATCAATTGGTGGGTGCTACTCAGACGAACCACAGGCCAAATGTATCCTGGAGCTCTATTCGCACTTGACTCTTACCACACGACTGTGGGGCCAAGAATTATCCCTTCCCGGAACAGGTGGGTAGACGTATGTAAGTTCCTTGAGATCACGACGGAGGCGTGCTACGTAGATCACAAATTGAGTAGTGTTTGATATAGTCCTATTTTTTGACTCCTTTACTCTATCTTAACTCCGAGACCTGATTCTTGATTCTGCTTGGCTAGGGTATCTGGACCTCTGGACCGATGTCGACCTCAGGGACCGGGACGAGAGTCCATCGACCGAAAGGCCAAGGTTTATCGACTAAGGACCGAGGTCCATTGATAAAGGACCAAGGTCTACCTTCAGGGACCGGGGCCGAGAGCCCATCGACCGAAGGGCCAAGATCAATCTTTGTGGAGGTGTACCAATGATAGACCAGGTTCGACCTTGAAGGGCCGGGGTCCACCTTGAGGAACCGTGGTCCACCGGGCTAACCGCAATTAATCCTTTGAATGGTGGCTAACTAGCACACTTTGACCGTGAATTATTCTCATTCAACGGTCTTTCCTCGTCCCCTTTAGCGCCTGGTCTCACTGTCCCTTACCCAACGGTCGCTCCTTCTTGGCAAGTCCCTTTCTCTTTGATCCACTGGTTCTCTGACCTCCCAGTTCGTGAAATGCTTCACCACTGGTGGGGCTCTCGAGAGCCCCACCAGGAGCGTTGCGCCTAAGGCCTTCAACCTTCAATCAATCCATGGCTCATGACGTTCTAGCCATGCCATGCCTAAGATGAGGTCATACCTCGCATCCAGGGTTACCAAACAGCGATCCATGCTGCTAAAGTCCAAGAACTTTACATTTAAGTCCACCGGGACTTTTGGTACCGTAACACGCGTACCCGTTGCTAAGCGAACTGTGACTGTGTCGCGCTCACGCGCTCTAAGCGCGTCAGTGTACTGCTGGCTACCTTTCACGGTGGCACGGCACACATGATTGCCCGATGCCCCCGAATCGATCAAATGATCCATGACTTATCAAAGCCCTTAACCGTCCCTTCGACGACTAGCAAGCCTTTCTTGCATTTTTTCATTCTCGCTCCGTTTTTGAGAGTTCGGGTCTCTTTGGTTCTGGGCCCTGTTTACTTCTACCTCCTAGAGGTTCAACAGAACTCAGTTCTTCCCCAGTAGGGCGCCCCGCGCCTACTGGGCTCCGTTGTTTCCCCGCGGCAAACCAGAAGGTTTACCCATAGGGCGTCGGCCCTTCGAGGCCAAATATGCCTTTCTTGCAGGGCATTTTGCCATCAAATGACCTGTGCTCTTGCAGATATATAACATCTGCACAAAATTTGCTTCTCCGCAGCATGAAGCTCAGCTTCTTCATCCTCCACTTGACTACAGTCCATGGGTACCGACCCATCAGACGAGTCGTTATAAGTGGCAGGCCTATCGGCTTTAAAGTTGGTCTCGGCATTCCATGCCACTCCAACAGCTTCCTCAAATAAGGACAAGTTTACCCGTAAGACTCCCGTTCTGGCAACGCCAACTCGGAGGCCCTCCATAAAGGCCGTGACGGTCACTGCCTCAGTCATAGGGTCTATGACCATGGCAGCAATGAGAGTTCTCAACTCTTGCACATATGCCGCAAGCTCACGCTTTCCTTGGCGACGCGCCAAAAATTGCGATCGATTACAGTGTGCCTGGTTTGGCGTTGCATACTGCCGGGTCATCTAAACTTTCAGATTGGCTCATGTTGGTAATGCATCTTGCAGTGATGCACCGCACGTGAACGCTCACTGCTTGGCTAATCCACCCAACTTTTCCCGTGGCAAACCCACACGGTACGGTTCATAGGTGATGTCAGCTATAGACATAGCCGACTCTACCTGTCGGAACTACAGCATAAGGTTATTACCTTCTTTGCCGTCGAACTTATCGACTTCCGTATGTATGGTTTTGGTCTGCGGACCACTTCCTGCGCCATAGTCGCCATAGACGAAGGCGCAGAAGAAGGCATCTGTGCCCTTTACATGCTCGACTAGAGCTTTATTATACTCATCAAGCATACGAATACGTTTGATAAACTCTTCTTTGCCTTGGGCGAAGAGGTACTCCACGCCCTTAGGGCCAAGGATAGGGAGCAACTTCTGCAACCCTTCCTGTTGTGCCTGTGACAGGCCAACCGCTGACATCTCATCGTTGTCCATTCTCACACAGAGGAGTAGTCGCAAACCCAGGTGCGTGATTGACTACACGTGCTACCTGATGTAGCCGAGCTACTGTAGCCAATATACTTATGTACTACGTGCAAATGAAGATAAGATCCAAGAGCTTGTATGTATTAGGGTTCTTAACCCTTCCCAAGGCTAGCTTAAGACACTTATGCCTTTGGTTGCAAGCAACCGCGTCTCCAAGAGAATAGTATCAAAGATAAAATTCCTATAAGGAATAAGAACGCTCTAGCAACTAGTGCTATACAGAGCAGGTTTGAAACTGATTGATATTTATGTTTATCTTTTAGCACTAAATATAGAAGCACCTACTCTATACTTAGTAATAGTCACTATTTACTGGCTTTGTAGTATATTATTATGCAAATATGTATCGTCACTATACTTAACTAAGTATAGTGACCACGTGGCTCTCTGCCACAATGCGACCCTTCGTACCTTAGGTACGGTCACATCAAACCTACTAATGTACCCAAGGTACAGCCACACCACATTGGTGTATGTAAAATACACACCTTCATGTAACTTCGTTACATGCAGGGCTTGGTGTATAACGGAGAAGTTGTCCAGCGTGGTAGGCGAATCAATTTCCGAGGCGGCCAGTGGAGCAGGGGCAACTATTGGGTACTCATTATTGGCATCTACGGCCGGGATACACGATCATAGGATCAGCGGCGACTGGTGACCCTTGTCGTCGACAGCCTCGGCCAAGTTCGTCGGCGAAAGTTCTGGCTCCAATAGGTCGTGGCAAGGTTAGACCGGAGGCGAGGGGAAGACCGAGGTCGGTTATCCAGGCGGTGAGTCTGACCCGGGTGAACACATTGCTGGAATCACAAGAAATCAGACGAGAAACATCCAGTAGAAAGAAAGCAAAATGACTTACGTGACGAACATGGTGAAGACATTTGCGTACTTAAACTGCTGTACGGTTGAACAATTGCACAGGGTGCCTATGGTTAAGTGCTTTTGAAATGTGGAGAATCCAAGGTCCGGGAGAGTGGACCGGAGAGAAAGGGGACTACAGAGGTAGTTAACTGAGCAAGGATGTTCCACACGGTATATTTAAGCCACATTTACTACACTCGAGTGTTCATCGAGTTTGCCTATCTGCGTACCGCTGACCAAAATGTCCTTTGAAAGAGTGAAATGAAGACATAAAGCAAAAGCAGCAAACGAAAGGCCGTCTTATTACTGAACCCGTATTTATAAACCGACTTCATGAGATCTAATACCGGTAGTATCGGTAGTTTATAAGCAGCTAAATTCCGAAACTACTAAATTGAATTCCGAAAATCCTAATAGTGTAGTCCACATCAATATCATTTTATTATTATCTAAATAAAATAATCGTAAATTCTACTAAAACAAACAGGGGGAAAAGACCTTAACCACACGCTAATCCTCGAGCCAAAAATGACAATGTTGACACTGCTACTGCTCATGATGAGTGCTCTTTCATTGAATGCCGTGCAATTTGATGTTCTTCGTCGATCTGAAAAGTGTCTTAGTGATGAAGTGGCTCAGGAAAGTCTTGTGGTGGTGTATTACGACGTGATTGGGAGTGGACGTGGTCCATCGGATGTCTCCATCGTTATCAACGATCCACTACGTAAGTTGATCAAGCAGGACGTTAATATTGATACGTCATCTGATGATATCCACAAGTTTTCATTTACGGCAAATACTGGTGGTAATTATGCCGTGTGCTTTCGTAACAACAATGACAAATCTGTGCGTGTTCTGTTGGACTTTAAACATGGTGTTGAGGCAAAGGATTATACTGAGGTAGCTAAGAGAGAACACCTTATGCCAGTGGAAAAAGAACTACGCAAGATGGAAGACGCGGTGGATGAAATTCATCGAGAAATGCTGTATATGCGGGAGCGTGAAGCCATGATGCGGAACACGAATGAGTCGACAAACTCACGTGTGCTCTGGTTTAGTTTCATTTCCATCCTTGTACTAGTGGGTATGGGTGTGTGGCAGGTTTTGTATCTGAAGAAGTTTTTCAAGAGTAAAAAGCTGATTTAAGCAAAAAGAGCCGCTCGCACTGTGTGACTTTGGTGGTTCTAGAGAAGAAGAAGAAGAAGTGCTTTGAAAGTGATGATGATGAGAAATACCGGGACGTGTAGGATGGGGGAGAAAGTGATAAGAAGTTCTTTGTTAGTTTCTTCAAATACAGCGGAATTTGAGATTGATAAGAGTGAGACTCTAGTTCGAAACTTACAGTTAGGCGCTAGTCTCTAGTAAGAGATGTAAAGACAAGAAGTGGAAGCGTTAGAGAGTGACGCTGTCTTAAATCGAACAGTGGCAATGGTCGAAGCACCGGCAGCGACGTAGACATTGGAAATGCTAGCTTAGATGACTATGCTTGACTTGTCTGATTCTTCCACGCACTTTGTCTAGTATGCACACCAAGCAGTTAGCAAGGAAGACAACAAACACATCGTATCATCGAGTTGCGCTCTCAAAGACGGTTATTGTCGTCAAGCAAAGTTGAACTGGCTAACAGGCCGGCACCCTTGCAAAAAGGTATAGCGATTAATGGTTGGCATTGCGATGGCGTTTTACTAAACTTCGAGATATCCTCATTCGCGATATCTTCCTACCCATTTCCAATCTACATCTCTAGTTGCACAAAGAGGTAAATGAGCTCACAGGAAAAATTAGTTCACCTCAAAAGCCTCAGTGCAACAAGTACTTAAGCACGTCTCGTGCTGCGAAGTGGCCTGATCGATTGATTACAGCTGTTCTAGTCCCGAGACCATGTATTCAACATTGTTCGACAGACTCCAGGTTGCTTGCACCCACAGGTTGTTACCCTCTTGATCAGCTCCTGCGCACTCAAAATCTAAGCTTCACCGCTTGCAGGTAGCCAAACTCAACCTGCGTTTCTCTTTCAACCCGAGCAATGCTGCTGTCATTTTATGACTGCCGTCTCTGAATCTCAGCGTCGTAATGTGGACGTATAGACTGTTCTTTGGTTACTATTCGTATACCACGCAACTCTGCATGCAAGTTTGTTGCTGCCAAATCATATCCCAAGTGCCAGGACACAAGATAAATACGATTTGTTTTATGACAGATATTGCTGGCAAGGCTGCAGGTGACTCTCGCAAGCAAACGTAGATCAGTGTCAGGCAAATGTCCTTAGCAGACTCAGGAGTACATAACCATCGAAAAGCAATATCTACGTTCGATTCCATACACCATGAAATTGTTACGATATCATATCATCTGTCACGATATCGACGACATTTCCTCGGTACCCGAAACCAACTGCACTACCATGACACGGTTGTTTGTCAGAATGGGTACACCCACATTTGAAGGATCCACCTGATACTTTAAGCTTCGAAACGAGTTCAGCTTTGGTCGACAACGAAATCGTAGCTCATGTTGTTTCAGCATTGTACTGCTTGCCACTATATCGTGTAGTGCCGCAATGTCGCGTTGTTGGTCCTCCAGACTAAACGATGTGATCAACAATGGCTTGCACGAGACAAGCAAAGCCTGAATAGTAAGGTCCCAATTCTTTCGCAGACGAGGGTGTCCAATTCCTGGATTATATAGCACAAACGCATCAGGTGTCCCCAACATACTTGGCTCAATCTTGTGGTACAGTCCATTGATCATTTCCAACCGGATCTTCTCGTTCGTCTTCTCCATCGTTGTATGTGTCTTTTTCCTCACCGACATTATTGGTACATGATCTCCAACGAGCTTGATCTTAAACTGCCATCCAGGATTAAAGCAGGACAATTCTTTCCACAAATAACGAGGCATCATAGCTTCTGCTCGTGCTCCAATCACATGAAGCTCAATTAGTTTTGGTCGACTGTCTGTATTGTCCATCTCAATCAATTCTGGAAGATATCGATTGAGTGTCATGACATAGGAATAGGCCGAAGATAGTAGTCTCAATGCTCTTTGATCTTCTAGCCATCGTTGAGTCGGACGATACAGCTTAAAATAGTCCATCCACGATGTCAATGGCGTCTTTTCTTCCCATTCTTTGCTATCCCGTTGACTTGAATGTATGACTATAACAATAAAAGTATGGTTAATTGCCATTATTTCAATTGGTACAATAATTGTTATTGTCAATATACAATAATTGCTTAAACCTTTTGAGAAGAGAATGGATGCATCAGACGTTGTAGCATATTCAATATCGTCAATCATACTTTCATAGATTGCCAGTATCTCTGATTGTGTCTTTTTTATCTTATCTCCACACGCTGGAGAGCAAGAAAGCAATAGCCACGTCCGACGGCGATTATTATTGTGCTGAGCCAAAATGTTCTCAATATCCGCGAGCTGTGAGCGTGATTCAGATGTCTGAAGACCACACTCAAGACATGGAGAGCGTACTAGAGCATCCACAAGTGACTGTATACCTCGCAAACGCAAGTCACAAGCAGATAGAGAGCGTACAGTACCCACAAGTAGCGATGGCCGGTGCAATAATAGCATGTGCTTGAACATGATGAATCCTAATTTAAATGTTATTTTAGGACTAGGAAATAGAGGAGGTTGTTGGTACAGTGTACCATAAAGTACGTAGCAATTTTATATGGTACGTATGTGTCATTTCAGATGCCTTCGCTTTAAGATGCAGGACTTTTTTGTTTCTTGCCGACTTCCTTCGAGTGATTTTGTTGTCATATCGAGTCGATCCCTATTATACTTGTTCACTTACTAGACTTGGAAGAAATGTATCGTTGGCGCTAGTTTTACACTCACAGCTGTACAAAAATATGGTCTGGTACAGACAGCCTTGTCTTGATTTACATGTCGGCAATGTATTTGAGCGCGACCTCAAACATTGTGAGAAAATAGCCCACCTCGCCCAGCATCAAGGATGGGTGGATCATGGCACCCAACAGCTCTTTCGTAGCAAGAGGTCGCTTCAACCCGCTCTTTACCACTACGTAAATGTGGATAGGAAGGTAGTCATCTGCAGTCAGTGCTGAATTATCATGCCAGTCCAGATTCTTCTCTCCACAACTTTTAAAAATCTCCAGCGCCGCACGTAGCAGCTCCTGGATCTTGTCCATAGGTAATGTTCGCTCATCAATTGTGCTCAGGTGGTGGCACGAGAGTCCCCAGTCTTCGTCAGACTGCAAATGCTCCGGAATACCGCTCTCAATTTGTGACCTGCACTTCAAGCGCTCAATGTTATGCGCTAAACGCTGTTCGACTTCCTTGTCAACAGTCTCGCTTACAAGAAAATTCACCTGCTTTTCAAGCGGTACAAAAATGGTGTCTTCCACAGCGTGGTACACGCAGTCATCTAAAACGGACGAGACATCAACGCTCTGGTCCAACAATGACAGTGTATCCGCGTACTGCGGGTCCAAATGTTCTGAAATGTACTTTTCAATGCTCGTAACCGTATTGCGCAGGTCCTTGACAGCTGAAGCCGCAAGCATCGCCCCTTCCAAATTGCTGCATACTGCCGTTTCGATTGTGGCTACACGGTTGCGGAATACGTGCAAAAATCGGTAGCACGTGCTTCCCTCAACAGCACCCTCACAGTTAAGGCGTCGAAACAGATCGTAGGTAAGCCACTTGGGTTCAATCGGCTCACCGCTCGTGTCAATCTTCTCTAATGACGACACAAATTCAGCTGAGCACATCTCGAGCTGCAACTCCATCAAAATGCTTCGCTGAAGACGAGACTGGGGCTCCAAAGCTCCCAAGTTTCTCAAAAAGACCTCAATCTCACCCATACCATGTGTGACTGCCGCAGCACTTGCAGGTCTAAATCGTCGCCGTGGGAATGGCAAGTCCAGTAGAAATCGTAAATAGTCCTTTTCCTCATCGTCCGTTTCCGGCGCACGTCGAATCATTCCACGGATTTTGCGCCGGAGAAAGTAAAAATCGCTATATCGCTTCTTTGTAATCCAGAACACACGGGTGTGCAGATCCACAACGTGTAACACATACTCCGTGACGCTCGGCATAGAACTTACCGTCTCACAGCGCACTACTCGCACAGAAAGACCTGGACGCAGTCCAGTGTAATTCCACTTGGTATACTGCTCTAACGTCATGCTGCGTACTCGCTTATGTACTCGTCCTTTAGTTGGCGAGAACACGAGTGGTGGCATTGGCGGCAGGATGCCTGCGCCAGTAGCCGACGACGCTGACGATGCCGAAGCAGAACCTACTGTAGTCGCAGTTGCAGAAGACGGTCGTCCTGTCTCGGGGTATGTGATGGCGTCTGGATCCATGGGCTGTCCACAGTTTTGACGGTTGGCATCATCGTCTACCCTCCTAAGTCCTGGGATCGATATCCTTGTTGTCTTCTTAGGCTTTGATTGTGCTCTAGCATCAGGTTCGCACTCGAGCTGGAATCGATCGTCATGCTGTAAACATATAAAAGACGTGTTGTGTGTCCATTAGTCAATCAACTACCACAAACCTCTGTAAAAATCAGTGTCCATTTCCATGCGTACCTTCTGAGATCCACGATTAAAAATTGAGCGGGAAATGTGTTGTAACAAATGACTCTCATTGTACGATGACATACGCATGGAGAATTTCCACATGACGTGACCCGCTAGCGTCGATGGTGCCGCTTGTTCCTCTGTCCCAGGCTCTTTCTTCTGTGCAAGATCGTGCAGCGAAAACGCAGGAGCTACAGGTGCTAATGTAGGCTGCGGTGGCATCTTGAGCAGTCGTCGCCATCCTGCGCTACTCTCGTCTTCGGCCATGGGCTGCAGCTCATCGCATTCGATCTCTGTCTCGCTGCTTGCGCGCTGGTCACGCCTCCCCCCAGCAACGCCGCTCATGCCACTGCTTCCGCGTCGGCCCCTACAGGAACTATAATACCGATAAAGTGCTTGTTGTCTGCACGGCGGTAGTGTGATTGTCAGACCAGGAAGAGGAGGACGACTGACTGACTGTCCAATAGCTTACGGCTACTATTAATGCCTTTTATGTGCCTCGGGTTTATCGCTGAGGTTTGTTTTGCTGTAGAGGGAGAGGCAGACACCTGGACTCACGTCGCAGAAACGAGGGCACGACCGCCTTGCTGCAACATTTATGTATCTAAAAAACCTTCACGTTACCTTCTTGTCAGTTTTTTTGCTTCCATATGGGACGAAAATCCATCGGATTAGAGAAAAGGGTGGACCAAATATAACCAAAAGACAAGATGAATCGTATGTTGTCAAGTGAGGAGAGAACATGGCGAGATGATGCACACATGGATGGAAAACACCAACTAGCCTTGTTTTGTATCAACTCTTTTTGTATGCAAAAGACGTAGCAAAAGACGTAGCAAAAGACGTTTCAAGCAACGCTAAAGGGCGGAAGAAAATGACTGTTTTCCCTCTTCGACACTTTAGTCAAGATTTGCCATACTAAAGTCAAGTCAATGGCGCAATCATCCCACTCTCTCTCTCATTTGTAATAAGAAAACCTTACATTCAAACTAATAAAAGCACCTACGGACTCACGGATTACTATTGGGTTTTTTACACCCTTGATAAGCTTTTACCTATGCAGTGAGTTTATCTTGCTAGATCTGCCAACGACTCTCACTTACAGCACGTAGTAGTGTCAAGAGAAACAAACGATCTCCACTACTATCGTTTGTAAAGTGAAAAAGCGGTTGGTTTTACCACAAAAATCATGATAAGAAATGCAAAAGACGTGCTTATTGTCGCAGTCTGATGCAAATTTGAGAAGTTCCTCTACGACCTTGAGACATGTATGCGCTGGGAGGGGGGCATAAGAGGCAGCTCAATGCTGTGAGAAATACTACGCACGAGCTTGGGAAGAAGTACGACTTGCACTATACGATGGTCTTATCTTGTTTCGTTCGGTTGTATCGTATTTGTATTGTGCTTTCGTAGAGATTCTAATGGACGTACGTTCGTGCTGACGTACTTAAGAATCTCTACGAGTGCACAATTGCTACATTGTAGAAACATACAAGGCACTTGTCACTTTTAGAGTGAACGTGTCCAACCAGTTGGATATTTATTGGCAGTAACGACGCAATAAAGTAAATACACATTATAAGCTTTTAGCTTTCGCTAGTTGTCAAGTGACAGTTCTGTGCTGAAATATGGTAATAGAAAGCCATCGACCATTTGTCAAGTCAACATACTGTGTGATCTGATCGTTAGCGTCTTCAATTGAACAATAAACGCCCTGAAGATGAACCCGTGGCACACAAACGTCGAGATGTAGAAATGCCACGTGGTTGAGACGGAAAGTATAGGACCCTGACGTATGCAACATGTCGCAATGCACCATCAAGTCAAAGCACAAGCAAGGCTACACGCGTCATGATGCTCAATCCGGGAATGTTCATGTCACTAGACTGCGCATCACGACACGTGCAACTATGACCGGTTGGGTGAACTCTCGAAGAATACGACGACTTTGTGGGCTTCCATGTGCACGTGATTGAGGACAAAACTGCTGTTGCCTCTGATACCGCTTCTGGTCCGTATTGCTGCAGGAAGGTGGAGTGATCTTGCATGCTGGGATGCCCCTAGCTTCTGTCTCACTAGCAGCGTATGCATTGATGCTACACAAACAACGATAGAACTAGAAGAAACTGGTGGTTGTCTTGGTCCTTAACTAGACTTTACATATTGTAGGTAATTCGCAACCTTATTCAAAAGCTTCTGCTTGTGACCAACAAAACCCTGAGTGACAGTCGTATGATGTGTGTCAGATTCTATTCATCCAGTAGTGACATTGCCATAGGGAAGCAACAGTTGATGTGGTCTTGTGTCAGTCACCAGATTCCCGAGTCAAGACATTCTACGTTCATGAAATAGTAGTATCAACTGAAACGGGGTCATCAACATATTGGCATTGCTGCTATCACTACAGAGGTCAGTCAGTCAATGGTTAAAACGCAGGAAGAAATGGATAGAGATTTGAAACGATCTATCACGAGTGTTGTTTGTAGAAAAAGTGTACAACATTATGGTGACAAGCCTTTACGATTATATCAGCCGCTGCTCAGCTATTTTCCCTCAGCTGCAGGTGGTTCCTCTTGCTTCCTCTCAGCGTGAAAGTCCTTGGCAAAAGTCTCTGCTACAATAAGCGGAAATACCAGCGTTGCATCTGCATAGAGCTTCACAGGCTTTGATTCTAGCCGCAGCTTGCCCCACGAGATTGCCTCATCAGGATGTGCACCAGCATCACTACCATCAAACTCTTGGCCCGTGTTCACAAACACGCCATAGTTAGCACCATTACGCATGAGATTGGCGTTCAAGATATGGTGCTTGACCATACCTCCACCTAAGATGATAACACCAGTTTTGCCTGGTGCACGAATCGCGTGATCATTGATACGACGAATATCACTCGCAATATCTACTACAAGTCCTTCATTTCGATACGAATGGAAGTAAATCATATCGCCAATGGATCCATCCGTAAGCGCTGGACAAAAGACTGGGATGTTGTTCTTGTATGCCCAGTAGTAGACCGAGTCTTCATTGTTAATCTCTTTCCCAAAGCGATGTATCATCGTCGATGGAGACCAGATAATCCCCTGTGTCTTTTGTTCTTCTAACATCTTGTCCAAGATCGGATCAATCCAGTCTTCAAACTTACAATAATTGTCATTCGGCACTAGTAAATTGCCAATACGATTGATCCCACGACGACGTAACGTATCACCTTGAAGTGAAAACTCTCCAATATATGTCGGTGCTAAACACTTGATCAAATCCTCTTCAATCCCACCAGCAGATGATACAATAACGTCAACCATCTTGTGTTGCGTTAAGAAACGCAGTGACTCACGTAAACCACTTGAGATTAGATTCGACGTATAACCTAAAAAGATCTTGGTCTTGATACTTGCACGATATACTGGATCCTTACGCTCTTCATCATGTTCATCTGGAGCGATTGGATCATCATTTAAACGCCATTTGCGCATACGTTTAATTTCGTCAATCGCTTTGCCTAGATTCGTGCCTTGATATCCCATTGTAACGTAGGATTGCATAATCTTTTCATAATCAATGCCTTGATTGAATTCATACCCACGTACACGTACATTCTTGCCTTCTAAATCCTCTGAACGCATTAATACAGCGTCCTGTGCCATCTGAGGTACGTTTACATTCATTCCTTGGGTGCTCATGATGTCAATCACGGACTGATGGACGAGCGTAGGAGTACTTGATCGACATTCGCAGGTTTCTATCTGACCCCATAAATCAGACCAAAAGGCTTTTCTTTGTATCAACAATATATCATTTCTAACCCAATTTCATTCCACATCAACAATACGATTATTTAACCTCGTTGATATTTCTACCTTGCAATTTTGGACCAATTTCACATCATGCCACCGAACGAGACGACGAAATTGTTCCAGATCCGCCGCATTTTTGGCTTCTCGACGGTCTTTCCACCTTCAAATGGCTCGATTTCTTCTCTTCAGATCAATGCAATGGCTGTACATACAGTAGAAAAGAAACAGCTACTTGCATTTGCCATTGGTGAAGAAGAAATACATTCATTCGCACCAGTTCCAGCACCAACCGTTTTTCAGTCACATGTGGTATAAAGACATCCATTGGTCCGAAAAGGACACAAAAGACTAGTTTTTTAGTCCTACGGACCATTGAAGAAGACCAAATGACTCGTTTTTGGAAATTTAAGATTCATTTGACCCCAAAAGAACCCAAAGTAGGACCACTTGATACAAATTGTTGTGTCTCGGCATTGGAATTTAGTCCAGAAGGTGATTGGCTTGCGGCATTATCACAGAAAAAGACGGAATTATACTTGATTCCAGTATTGACTTTAATTGCCAATCAACGTCGTGCTATGCTAGCTGCTTCGTCCAATCAAACATCATCCTATTATCCTGAAGTCCTGAATGTATCTCAAGCAGTCATGACGATTCCAATGGCGTCCTATCTTCGTGTAACAAATGAATATGGAGGACTTCATGGAGCACGATATCATTCACAAGTTACTGGAGATGAAGAACAAATGAGTTTATTAGAATTTGCACCAGGTTTGGGTGAAATTACGTGTCTTCGATGGTGGCGATCGTTTCATGGCAAGAATTATTGTCTAGTTGGAAGTACCGAGAGTTTAATTTCCATTGTCAATGTCGAAGAAAATGCAGAAGAATGTCGATGTGAATTGATGAATGCTGGAAAAATTATCAGTATTGAATTGTTACAAGAGAAATTTAAAAAAGAACGCAGGACGTCCATGTTAGTCAAGACGAAAATGAATTGTGAGGACAAACAAACAGGAAAAAAGAATTGTGTCAAGTATTATCGTGTCGTCTTGGAGAAAAAAGGTCCTGTGGGAGTGTATGGACCATTATCTAAGAAAGGAAAAAAGAGTGACGACGAGCAAAAGGTGGAGGACGAGAAGGACAAGGACGAGGCAACACGTACAGCGTCGACATTAAAGATTGCGACAACCACGGGTGGATTATCATCTTCAGGTGAGACAAAATTTACCACGGCTAATATTGGAAGTGGATTATCAAGCTCGATCAGTCATGTAAAAGTGCCCAAGTTTGTTGTCAAGACGTTCCCGCAGCATTTCCTCCAAGATCTTGATTTTCGTCCACAACGCATTAAGAAGAATTCACCACACGTGTGTTTGTATCCTATTAACGGTGTTCTGAGCTCTGAATCATCGCTAGCGCTGTATGATTGCAAAAAGAAAACAGTCAGTCTTTATTCCAACTTTCACTGGAGACTGAAGGGCGAGTATGAGATTCCTGACCTCTTGCCTTTGTCTTCCGACGACACCGACGAGCAAGATCCGGCTCAAAGCAGCGGACTTGATAGTGGGCAACAGGAAGAAGGGACAAAACTAGATTTAGGTGAAGGAAAAGATGAAGTTGTCGATGTGGACATGACTTACTGTTCGACCGATCTGATGCTGCTTCAAGGTCGTTTGTCAAAGTCTAACAAGACAGTTTCGATGTGGGTTTCTCTTCCGTCCAACCAGGGGATGGACGAAGACGTCGCCAGAGCACATATTGTGCACTATCTTTCGTTGCATGGGAATGAAAAAGTCGAACGCGTGGTACAAAGCACGGCTCGAAGTCGTGGAGGTCTGCATCGTGGTGGTAGTCAGACAGGCGAAGCTGAGATCATTTATATCCTCCAAACAAAGCACCACGTGTATGAGTGCCGACCGCAATGGTCTCGATTAGCACTTTTCAAGGCGCTGTGTGCGCAAAGCATAGCGCTTCGGGATGCGTTGTCCATTGGTTATGCGCTCGGTATTGATATGGCTTCTCTCTGTGAGGTTGTTGCAAACACCTTGTACACCAGTGTAATTGACGGTAGTGCAAGTGCAAACGGACAACTTGTGCAGTGGGTGCGCGATCTCTTTGAAGTATCACGTGTCATGCCATCTAGTGCAGTCGAACAGCTGACTAGAATGGGTGGTGTGCAGAGCGCTATTGACTATGCTGAGCACGTGCTTTCCAAGCCTGCAATATACGACAAAACAGAACGAGGACGTGTCGCTCTCATGCTGGTAGATCTGGCGCTTCAACAGCAACTTCAAAAAAGCACATCATTGAGTATTGAAGCAGGACAAGAATTTTGTACGCAAGAGTGGCAAGATGAAGAAAAGGAGGCGTGGCTTGTAAACTTTTTGGAGACCAACTGTGATTATATGACCGCAGATATTGTAGATCTCTGTCTATCGCAGCATAACGTTGATAAGGCTATCCTTGTTGCAGCTCGACGGGACGAAGTGCCGCAGGTTCTTGAGAAGATTGTTGACAAGGGTCTGGCCTCTTTTGTATCCGAGCAAATGTTGCGCTCTCTACTTGAATCGGGTCATGCTGCTGCCTTTACATTTCCACCATGTCGCTTGATTCTGCGGTCATTTCCAATCGAGATTCAAGCAGAAGTTTTGTTGGCGTACCCACCAGCTATTCTTCAGCATCGAGGATGGCTGGAACGAAATATGCCTTTAATCTCTTTAAAGCTTTGCCGTGAGCTTGCTGCTAAGATTGATCCTATGCAGTCGGAAAACAATGGATGCATAGTGGAAGAATACTTGACAGAGAAGTATTCTGATGTTTCTATGTCTGAGTTCATTCGAGTATCTCCAGAAGAGCAAGTTGAGCTCTACCTGACATTGCTGCTCCGATTGAATTGGAATGTTGATATCCCACAACGCGAAGTAAGGAGTAGTCATGGCGAAAGTGATGATGCGTACTCGCAAGGTAAGCTGGAGATGCTCATGAAGGACTTGGCTGCCCGATATCGCTCACCTATCATGGTGGCTCGTTGTGTGGATTACGAGAACTGGACCGCAGCTGCCTGTATTTATGAAGCGCACGGTGAGTTGGTAGAAGCGCTCGAGTGTCGGCTGCATTCGCACAATGCCCACAATATGCTTCCGCATTTGACATCAACCGGGGGGACCATAGACGATAGTACTCACTTTGACGATTCGATTGGCAGTGCCGTATCGGATCGATCCAAATTCCATAGGCAAATGCGCGAGGAACTGTTGGGGTTGCTGACATCGCTAGTCGTTAGAAGTCACAGCTCGGAAGTCATCTCGGAGCAGGTTCGCGCTGCTATTCTTGCACGTATTTTGGTCAAATGGTTTGACTACGGGTTAGAACGCACAGAGCTGGAAGATTTTCTTATTGACCCCAATGTATTCGCACACGTATCCTCTCTGATGGCACAGATCTTTTTTTTCGAGGTCGCACAGTCCATTCTAGGACCCGACTTGGTCGAACTAGACTGCTGTCAAGGCTTTGATGACCGGGACAAGGAATGGGTGCTGAAGTGCCAGCATCTTCCATACTCGGGGCAATTCCTCTTCCAAGTGTGCGTATATTTTTTGGAGACAAATCACTACAGTCCAGAGATGCTGGACTCCAGTTCACGATCACCGATGCTCAAGCTGCTGGATGTTGTGAAAAACAATGCCATTGAAAATGATCTGTCGCACGGTGTGGTCGCGATCGCTCCCCATTCAGCGCAGGCACTTGGAAAAACGGATCCACTAGAAACTCACGTGAAAGCATTCACATGCGGTCACCTCTTTCCAAAGCGCGTGTTTGAAGAAGAGGTGGTGTCGGAGTTTGAAAAGCGCATGAACGCGCTACCAATGCCTTTGTTTGCGACGAAACAGGCTTTCACGCGTGAGTTTAAGCGTGGCACAAGTGAGACGCCATGCCCAGTGTGCAGTTATAACAAAATTAGTCAGCTCGTGCTCCAGCAGCACAAGACGACACAGCGGGAGAAGCGTGTGCATGGACAAAAAGATAGACCTGGCATAAACGGTGTGTCACCGTTGCAAGGAAAGAACACTCGTCAGCAATTGCCCTACTACTTCCTTCATCGAGAAACAAGCGAGAGTCTAGGATTTTTAGCTGAAATTCAGACTTCGAAGCCCGTTAAGCATGAAGCGTGGGAATAATAGCGAACATCGAGTAAGCATCATGACATCTTATGTACTGTGACGTCAATAAATTAATGAGCGTCTGTGCATGTACGTATACATACAGCAGACAGTGGCAAACTAAGCTTGACACTTATCTTTTCCGCTTCTTGCCACGCTTCGCACGGATTTCAGCGTTGCGCTTGTCACTCTTCATGCGCGGGTCCACAAGCTTGACCTTGCCTTTGCCAGCTTTCTTACCACCAGCAGTCTTGGTTCCACCACGCGTCGACACAACATACACCTTGCTTTCCTTCTTGAGGTGAGCACCTTTCATGGCACGGTCAATAGCCTTGAGCTTCTCGCGTGTCGACATGTCAGGCAAGTTAGCAATGTCCGTTGCCTTCTTCTTGGCTGCCTTCAGCTTTTTCATTTGCATTCGCTGCTTACGACCACGAGCCTCGGCCACCTTCTTGACAGGCTTGGTAGCCATTTCCATAAACCGTTCCTTCATCTGTGCCAGGACATTCTTTGGAATCGGGATTTGAGGTCGGTAATGCTTCTCCTCATCATCAACAAACCAATCGGGCAAGGCCTCCGAGTCATTCCATGTGTAGCGATTGTAGCTTGCATCAATCAGGTCCTTTGCCTTTGACTTCTGAACCATCATACTTGCAAGAGCAAGAGTCTTAGCACGATCTTCAGCATCATACTCCTCGTGGTCCGAGTCGTACTTGCGCTCATCCATGACCTGCAGAGCATTCTCATCCGGCTCGTCACCAGCAGCAACAACCTCAAACTTGTCTGTCGAGCTGTCATTGCTCTTCAGCGCAGCACCCATGCCAGAGCGAATCAGCGCCTTCTTCTCAGCAGAAATTTTATCGTCGCTTTCTGCTTCGGCGGCCATTGCAGCTTCATCGTCAGAATGTTCTGCAGCAGCAACGTCAAACTCGGTGCCATACTCCAGCTCGTACTCCTTTTCCTCGTTCTTGACTTTCTTCAGCGCACGGCGTTCTTTGCGTTCCAATGCTGCTTTACGCTTAGCATGACGAATCTCCTTGTCGGTCTTTGGCATCTGAGGCAACGCCAACTCGTCTGTTTCGAGAATGCCGTCAAACATTTTGTTGTTAGAAAACCAACGAGACACCGCAGCATTTGACTTTTCAGGGACTTTCAAAAACACATTCATATCATCCTCTTCGTCATCACTGTCATCGGAACTCTGTAAACATCAATACAACATGAATTAGCACTGTAGCTTTAAGACATGATGCACACACTCAATTCAAATGTCGGATGTACAAAGGACTGCTCCTCCGTAGAACCACAAATAGGTCCAGAGAAGCGGTCAGACAAATGACATTCCATGCTGCTTTCCCCCATATTTGACAACTGAGCGAAGGTACTGATCGAACCCGGAACAGATAACACGGATGGGGGGGAACTACATCAGTCTACAGACTGATACAAACAGCACATACCTCGTCTGGGTTGATCATCTTTTGGTACTGCTTCATGTCGCCGTCAAACATTGTGCTGTCTTCCACAAGGGCCTCACCAGCCAAAGCTCGTTTAGCAACCTTCGTGCGCTTCACCGCCTTGCGAGTCTTCACATCATCGCCACGGCGTGTTAAGTACTCATCATACGATTTCTCCATCGACGCTTCCAGCAATTCGTCGTACTCGGCATCACTGTCCTCAAGAGCAGCATCTTCGTCTTCAACGTCAGTCTCAAACTCAAGCTCCTCGTCAGACGATGATTCAGCTCCGGCGTTTTCAAGGTCGTCAATCTTTTTCTTTGTCAGCTTCAGCTCCTTCAAACTGAAAGCAGACTCCGCTGCAGTGACGTCAATGCCTTCTGCGTTCATTCCAAGCGCAGCACGAATACGAAGTTTTTGCTTGCGCTCACGCTCCTGCAACAGATGTCAATATACTAGTTAGCACACTGCTTGAGCTAAAGAGAATACCTTTGCGTATAATGCATCTACTATTCCAGGTTCACATGTCTGAGCGCAAGAACGGTTGAGTGTCGTATGATACAGAAAACCTCAACAGCTGAAGGCTGCAAATCAGTCTGGGCGGCTTCAATAGCCGGTCTGTTCAAGGACCAAATCCGACCAAATGGAATTGGAAGGGGCTTTGGATTTCCGCCATGCAAATTATACATATTTACTTGGAGATGTCCAGCCCAAATCGACTGTCATTCGCACTAGTCAACGACGACAGGATAGGGGGCCAGAAATAGATATAGGCGCGTAACGGGAGTCGGGAGGGTTAATCCGCAACATGTCAAACGCGAAGATATGACAAAGACTACTGGGATGCGCCCACACAGAACATACACTGCAACTATAATACTCGTTTGCACACAATCTCACCTTCTTTTTTTCACGCTTCTTCTTTGCCTGAACATTAGCTTGAAGCTGGGACAATTCCTCACAAACAAGAGCATCTTTCTCTTTCTCAGTCAATTCACGCCCAGGCTCTTCTGGTTTTTCAGAATTATCCTTTGTCTTGAGTTCATCACAGTTTTCCGCCTTCAAAAGTTCTTCCTTAAACTTCAGCATGCGACTTCGCCATTTCAACAGCATCTTAAAGTCAGACTTGCCAAGCACCTTTCAAAAATAGCAAAACATTCATTACGTTAGACACCTTAACACTTGGGAATGAACACAGGATTTATGATAGCTTTGTGATTGGAGAGAAGGATCAGACTGCACAAGGGCAGTTGACAGCAACACCACGCATCGGCTTCCAGTGGGTTTTCCCAAAATTAATCAGGCGCCGGAACAACAATGGGGCTCAGACAATATTCAGCTTTGAATTCTTCATCTCCTTCTATCCAATCCAGCACCACCGACCACATTGGTCGAAACACACCAGAGCAAAAACACTAACACATACCTTAAGATCACTCAAACAAGTCACAATTTCATCGGATGTGTCATTGTGTTCACGATACACGTCATCTTCTGGTAAGAATTTGATACTAGTAGTGTCGGTCAACAATCGAATGGGATCATGGTCATCAATAAATTGTGTCACACTGCACTCATTCGTCAACGTCACACCAAGCGCCTCGTCATAGCCTAAAGATGTACAACAATATCATCGTTAGCATCACTACATTTGCCAGACCAAAGTATAGAAATTATTGAGAAAATGTCATAGATCATCGCTCCCAAACTACAAGCAAAGAGCAACGCTTCTTCCCAAAAAAAGAAGACGCGTCACATGTGCAGGCATTGGAAACGCTTGATATTGCTCTTGGCGACAGGTAGCGCTAGCAACCAATGGGTACAGCTTGCTAGAGACTCTAATAATGTAGCCGGCATAGAAAAAGACACAGAGACAACAAACAGCACTTAATATACCTTCACGATGCCGTTTGCGCTCGCCAAACTTTGGATGAAAGATCGTAATTGTCTTTTCTTGTGTCTCAACTTGGTCGAAAACATACTTGGGGTCAAACAGTTTTGGATCAATGGACTGTGGTGCCAAGAATTGTTCACACACTACAAAAATCTCGGCCGATTCATTCCGCGATGACAAAGGTTTTGTCGCGCTCACTTTTTTAAACAATTGCTTGAAGACCCAGAGCAAAGCATTGTAATCCTGTGAACGAAAGACTTTTGATACAAACGTTCCACCTCGCGCCATGACATCAACTGCTAACTTCAATGCCACAAGTGATAATTCATTCTGTACGTAAGCATCCTTAGAGTACTCAGCACCAACATTTGGAGCTCCATCACAAAGAACGATATCTGCTTGCCAGCTTTGCATTTCTTGTTTGATAATTTGACGACAACGACTTGTGGTAATATCACATTGAAATGTCTTGACACCTCGAATTGGACGAATTGGTAGTAAATCAATACCTAGAATAATACTTGATGCTGGCATATACTTTGCTGCAACTTGACACCATCCACCAGGTGCAGCACAAAGATCAATGCAGACTTTTGCAGTTGATAGAAAATCATACTTTTTATTCAATTGAATCAATTTAAATGCTGAACGGGCACGATAACCTTGTTGTCGAGCAAGATTATAGTACTTATCCTTATCATGTTTCTTACGTTTGACCATAGTTTAGCACTATAGGAGAGAGGACCAATTCACGAATGATAGATACATTGTATCATGATCATGGTTCGTTCAGTCGTGGTCGTCGTCTCCCAACCAACAACTATACAAATTGCAAGTCAACGACCGTTACAATGAGGTTTTTTATGGAATAAACCTCCACTTATGTAAAAACACCTCTTAATATTTGTATGGAAAGAATAAGGTTTATATGGAAATGTTTGTGTCGTTTTTTTGCCATGGTTGACAAGTAATTGTAGCCATGTTAACGTGAAAAGCTCAGCTAGAATCAGTCATGAGCTACAGTTGGCTTGTGAATGACCACGTGATCAACAAGATGCACATTCGATCGGTCCGACGTATTGAATTTTGCATCTAACATTGGATTCTCAAAATCCAAGCGTAACATGTTGTCTACTTTTGTCACCAATGGCTTCCAGTAGCTAGGTCGCGTCCATTTATATGATGGCAAGTTTCTTTCCAAAGACGCACGTGGTCCAGTGCCTCCGCTCCACTTTGGATCTCTACAAGTACAAATTAAGTGTCAAATGGACACCATAAGAGACAGAGAGACAAATTTGTATGGCATTTCTTTCGTACCTGCACCATCGATGAGGCATTTTGTCCACTCCGAATGCAAACACCTCGAGTCGACCATCCTTATCAAAATGTAGCCGCAAAAAGTTCTTGTAGCTAGCAATGCGCAGCGATGAAAAAGCCTCATTGTAATGGCATCCAAAGATATTGAGCGACAGGTAGAGATATGACCCAAAGACGAAACTAACCACGGGGGTGGCCAGTACCCAAAAGTACGGGAACACACTGGCGTAGTATGACCACAGTTCCATACGTCCAAGGCTTTCAAACCCTGATGTGCAAATCTTGTTACGATGTAGAGCGACCACCTCTGGCACTACAAGCAAAAACAAACTATTCAGTCAACACATCGACATCATACAAACCTGCAATGGCCAGTCCTTACCGTCAAATATGGTCATGCAGAGCCGCATAAATTCGCCGTACATCGAGGCAAGGCCAAAGATATCGTACTTCCGAACTGCCGAAAAGTCTGGAAGTGTACTGCTGAAAAAGAGGTAGAGTGTGTGTTCACCCTCACGACCAAGAGCACCGCGAGCTGAAGCCACTTCAAGAAGAAACTCGTAAACCAGCAAAATCGAGAATGCTGCCACATTGTGGAAGCACGACACGGCCAGACCCATCGCACACCTTTTTGGTAAAGTTGTGCAATCTGCAAACCCAATCGTTGCAATAAGCATACCAATGCAGCACAATAACGATACATTCGATGTCGTCACCATGTCAACAAGTAACTGGACGAGTTCCTGATAAAACTGTAACGCCGCCTCCCATCGCGTTGCAGCTGCATAGATGGATCCAACTGAGCAGCGCGGAAACATGGAGAAGACTAGAGCAAAGTACTGTTCTCGCGAACACAGAACATGTCAATTACGCAGTTAGTAAACAGTAGACAGAACATCGAGCTTGGAAAAAGCACGCTGTGCAACATACCCCAACGCCGCCAATAGCATCAAAGCGCCAATTGAGACGACGAAAGCCAAGAACATTCAGCACTGTATAGCGTCTATAGCAAAACACACAAAACCAAGCAGAGAAGCCATGTACAAGTGTTAGTGTCGCATTACAGACAGCACGTGATATGATGCTGAAGCGTACCTCGAAACATGTGCTGGTGGGTAGCTCGTCTTATGCTCGTACGTTCCGCCATTTGAAACCAAGCTTGAACAAGATATATGCGTCGGATGCAAGAAAGCACCACCACCACCAGAAATAATCAAATGCTCCGCAGAACGCTTTTTTCACCTGGCAGCACCGGTTGAACCATAGCATCTCCGAGTTTCTTCTCTTCCTCAAAAGCACTATCGTGTTGCTTCATGTGCGGAAAGTGTTTGTGAACGGAAGGGAATGCAAAAGAATGTCGACGCGGAAGACTCGATGTCGACGCTTTTGTCCATGGCGTACCAAATTGCATGGAAGCGGGGCGCTTCAGAACGTGTTTCTCTTCTACCAATGAGTGCCGCATGTAATTGTGGATGTCTCCAGCAAGTCGCACAGCAACTCGACCCTTGAGTACATGCTTGATAAGGTATGAAAGCTTGACGTCGACGTTAGACTTGTTTTCGTAAACATCTAACAACCAACGCGGTTCATGCGTGACCACGATTACTGCGTCATTGGGACCCATTTGAGACTGAACGACGCGCTCGAAAAAGCCAAACTGGTCCGTGTCAATGTCATTCTCCAGCGCTAAATCCACACCAAATAGCCACCAGCCATGAGGAAGTTTGATACTGAAGTAGCTTGTCTTTTGTGGAAGCAACCATCCTCCTAGCCAGTCGCGTTGGCAAATGTATCGCGTGAATGTGTTCAGACCATCAAACCAGTCATGGTTTCCGGGAATTGCAAATGCACAAAGGCCTTTGTATTCACGCAGCGATGAGCATCCATCGGGAATTTTCTTCTGTGTAGATATAGCCGATGGATGATACGATGATGGCGGCTTCATAGCATACTCAAAGCATCGAAACAAACGCGTTTCGTATGTTTGGCTGTCGGGATGTGGATATGCAAGATCTCCACCAATAACGAGAGCGTCACCACGTGGAAATACTCGCTTGATCGTTTTCGTTGCCTTCCCATGTTTGTTGTCAGATGAAGCTGCGCCGTTCGAGTGTTCTTTGCCGGATACTTCACAGTCCACCTCAAGCTGCGGTTGAGCAAGTAAACGTGCAATTTGGTAACTGCTATTGAAGCCGTCGCCACAGTCAGCCATGAAGTCAAGCCACACCTCGTCTTTTTTAGCAAGATGATCAAAGGTATAATCTTCGTCATTCGGATGCAGTGCACGTTGCATCGTGCGCATGTCAAAACGTCCAAGAAATACCTTAAGCGAGATGAGCAAATCAAATACTGTGTCAAATAAGAGCATGGAATACCAAGGTACCATGGACAAGTTTTGGTCGGGTGGTAAAAGTTCCTGGCTATTCTCTCCCTCGGCCAACTCGTCGTGATCTTTTTCAGTGTGATTCAAAAACCAGCCAAAGGATGCAATCACGCGAATGCCACTCACACGCTCGAGAAAAAAGTTTGTACTTGCAAGAAATATACCCATGCACCAGATTAAAATGGCACCACCATAGCTGTGATTGAGAAAAGCACATAGCACAGCGTTAGTATAGCAGCAACAAGAAGAACCAAAAGAAAAAGAAAAACACACACAAAGTTGTAGTGTATCCCTACCTTCCCGGTACAAGTGTTTCCTCATCATCCGATTGCACAAATGAAAAAAGTTGTGCACAAGCATGACAATTATATGTTCTTGGTTCATCTTGTGTTGCAGCACAATCAAACGTTGCGTCACAGTGTACAATCAGCGCAACACAGGCGATGCTAATCGCAGCGCTATTACGAAGTACATTCATAAACGATCTCTCCAACCTAACAATGTCACAAACCAGCACCCACAAAACCAAGATCACAATCAACACTCGATATTGCTACTAGAGTCACAGATACAAGAACACCACCACTAAAAATGAACGAAGCAAAAAAAAACTTACGAAACGTGTGCAACAGTCCATGATAAACCAAGCCGTGTAATCAATCGGGAGAGTACAAGTACTGCAAGTACTTCAAGTACGATAAGAAAGACAAAACTTGCGAAGAAGAAGGGAAATAGCAGCGAAATCTACATGAACACGCAACAAGTTAGTGTTTAGTATCCAGTATCCATGAGTGTTTGATTGTATCACTTAGACTCATATTGTATCATATTGTATCACATGTTCTTCTTAGTCCGACTTACGTACCGGTTGTTTAATTGTAGAATCCAATAACCCTAACGCATAGACTGGGGTATGTAAGGCAGCAGCAGAAAAGAGCCAGGCATATAAGACCATGGAGAAATAGACATAAGGTGTCCATGAATTGAGTAATTCCCGATTATTAACAAATGGACTTGTAAAGAAATAAAAGGCAAGATAGATCACAAGGTATAGTGTAAACCAGACCTAGTTTCAAGAGACATACGTAAACAAATAAAGAAACAAGAGCAAGAGAGAGAGAGAGAGAGGGGGGGGAGGATAATTCTATTTAGTTTTTGAGGGAATGAAAAAAAAACGAGACAATCATAGTATAACAGCTACACACCAATTGATCTTCAGCTTTTGTCGAGGAATCAGCTGCTTCCATGAGCCATCCCATGATGGAAATAATACACGAAAGTGAAGAAAAAGGGTCTTTTTAGGATATGGACAGATGGATAAAACTGTCTTATGGCATACTATGCGAACAGGACAGGACTATATTCAGATTATTAAGTTTGAAAGAGTATTTATCAAATCTCTTGCATATCAAATAAAAGAAAAAACAACAGGAGAAAACATGACGACGACGTGTGATTTCCCGATGGAATTTCTGACGCTTGAGGCGGATTTTGTCGAGAATAAAATGGCAATTAACAATAGTATTAGTGATATTTTACGTGGTGGAGGTATACAATGATGTCATGTTTGTATATGCATTCAATATTGAATTTTTAAATTGGGTTACTTTTTTTAAATTGGGTCGTCTCGTTGGTTTGTTGTATGTTGTATGAACTAGCGAATACGGTCTTACACGCGTCACAGAGTGCTCATGCAAATGTCGTCGAAGCTCAACGTTGTGTGAGTGGTTGAACAACAAGTTGGGGTCCACGTGGTCGATCATATATCTGACTTTTTTCATGCTGAATAATATCTAGATAAAACTCATGACAGTTGAAATACGCGGTCGATCGCCCAATTTAAGAAAATCCATGCAAACAAAGGTACATAACATTTTACCCATTTACTGGATTTTATCCATTTGACAAATAGCGTATATTTTTGTTGCAGATTAATTTGTATCGAGATGAATTACAAGGTCTTGTTCGTGATTTGGAACGTGCGCAGCTCATGGCACGAGACGAAAACGCGACATCTCGTACTGTAAATCAAGTGAGTTTTATTTTTATATCGTAGTGGTGTGATGTTTGTATCTGGATAATTAATTGCTACTATTGTATATATGTATCTTTAGACGTCGCAATACGAACGGCTAATCAAGAACAATGACCGTTTAACCAAGTAAGGACTTTATCGCGTTAATGAGAAGTTTTGCTGCTTTGATTGGATGGAGATTTGTTAAGCAACAAAAATATGGTGGTCGTGGTTGTCGTTCATGGTGGTCGTGGTTGTCATTCATGGTAGATCGTCCAAGAAATTACAAGACATGCATCGGATTGTGACTGAGACGGAAGAAGTTGGCATTACTGTATTGGATACATTGGCACAGCAGCGTGAAGGTCTTTTAGGTGCTCACGAAAAAGTACGTCGACTGGTTTGGATATGGCTATGTACCATTATCTTTCTTGCTGACAACTGACTGAATCGATTGTAACTAACCTATTACTGCTTCTTAGGTACGTGAGACAGGGGCAATGACCATTGAAGCGCGTCGGATTTTGCAGCGTATGACACGTCGGATCATCACCAACACTATTGTTTTGTACACGACCATCATTGTACTCATTGCTGCTATCTGCTACTTGCTGTACGCCGATTTTATCCGTTCTACTCGCTGGATATAAACGCGAAGGTTGTAATGCAGTCACGTACATGTACGTGAAACAAGTGATAACCATTTGCGTAACTATATTGCATATTATTGACGATACTGTATGAAGTACTCATTTTTTTGTTTGATTTCGTGAAGAGTTGAAGTGCATTGTTATAATAGCTAGTCGATCTTGTATCGTGATGGCAGGAAACAGCTATTTTTGCTTCAAACTGCAAAGGCTTCTTCGTCACGTTTCTTTCTCTCACTCATGCATCGACTACTCTGGTATCAGATGTCGTTGTGCATTTTTTCAAGCGGGACATGATGCCGTTGTCCAGGTCTCACTCTCGACATGAAAACAAGTATATGATTGTGAAGGTTATTAGACGGCTTGAACATGTGCATTTTCGAGCACGAGGAAACCATATGGGGTAACTGCATGTTATGGGAGGATCAGGAATCGTTTTGTAGTGACATCTTTCATCGACTACACGAAGTGTTTATGATTGCATGGAAGTATGCAACAAGACTTTTGCCAAGTCTACTGGAAAAAGGCGATGGAGCTGTAGATGCTGCATCATAAGCTGCGTCAACGACCAGGGCCTACGGATAGAGAAGGTTGTGTGTATCGGAATGCCAATTGATGTGGAGACGTGCTTGATCTTATACAGTGGGTCATTTACATTGCAGTGTCGGCTTGCATGGCTCTAATGAGCACGATCATCGTGCATATGATCGACGTAACTTGTTGATCAGAACAAGTGACGTCTGAAGGAGCAAAAACTCAATTGCTTGCTATCACCTTGGGCATTGGGTTCGAACAGCAAGTTGTGTCGTCTAAAAATTTGAAAGCGGAAGAACCGTTTGCATCTTCATGTGGCAGTGTAACAATCAACCATTCAAAGTTACTACCTTAACTGGTTGATTGTTAGTAATGACGATGGGCGTCGAAATGACAATGACAAACACATAATGAAGCTAGAACACAGTTGTAATTTGCTAATTAGGAATCGTACAATATATTCATCTTTCACACGTTTGTCAGTTCCACCAAAACAGCCTCAACGTTGCCATTATATTGGCTCAGCAAGTCACAGCAGACACCTTCGTCCAAGTGTACAAGGATTCCTCGCAGGACAGCAAGTTCACTAACCCACTCGCTCGTCGTCTCAGCATTCTCTTCATTAGTCGCAGTGGATCCAGAATTGTCAACAATGTCCCATTCACGGTCATCATCGTCGTCACATAAAGTGTCTGCGTCAGATTCATATGCCGTCTCTGGCACTTGTTGCTCAGCTTCGTCTATTGAAACTCGAGCAGGAGCCAGTCCTTCCTCGTTCCCACTCGCTTCAACGTCTCTTGGTGATTGCACCAATGGTGTCTCGGATGTCATGGATGATACCGATTGTCGCAAATCAATCGTCACCGCCACTTCCGATGATGGCGATGACAAAGAGACCGCTCGGGATGAAGATTTTATTGCGTCCGTTGGTGGTCGAAAATCTCGATCGTCACTTAATCCACTCGATGATCGACGACGTTCAATTCCAGCTGCAACGGCTGAACTGGCTCGTCGTAGACGTGTACTGACACCAGTACGAGCAGAAAAGAATAAAGTTGCAGAGTAGCCCAAGGATTCACGTCCTCGTCCCACAACTTCACTGTTGCGAATGTGATTCATTGCGACTCCAGCTTGTGTCATCGCACCTTCCGCAAGCCGTACAATCGACTGACAACCTTTTCCCAGTAACTCGCAGTTACGCAATGTCGCAGTCGCATCGCGTGCAACTCCAGCAAGTTCCACGACTTTTAGTAGCACGGGTACAAAAATTTTCTCACGAAATGATACACGTGATAGAATGTAAAAGTGCAGACTCTGCACTTGATTCTCCTTGGTACGAGGACTTGGAGTTAATAACAATACACGACAAGCCTCGTCAAATTCAAGAGCGTGTGTCAAGGTAATAATATCGCCCTCTTCATCGCGGTAGACGAGCGTCCATGGACTCGAAACGTGTGGAAACAATTCATGGACTTTTGCGACTACAACGTCGTAATTCAAGACTTGATCGGTTTTCGAATCGTTTGTTGCATACAGTGCAAGCATTGTACAGTGTGTTTCACCTGCGTAGGTCAATTGTAATTCGACTGACTCGGACATGGTAACAAGTCTAGGAAAGGTCGAGAGAGTGGGTGTGTGGATGTTGTTTGAATGTGTCAATGCGACACAAGAGTGAATGTGTGCGTTTGACAAAGCCAATTTTAAAGTGACTCGAGTGGAGACTGCAATCCTGAAGACAAGGAAAGCAAAAGGGGTTCGGGTCGTTAAATGCTGGCTGATGCGGCTCGAGCCTTTGGAAGCTGAAAGTATAGGTTGTACAGGGTATATAGTATAACAGGTATTAGAAGAATGAACATGTATTAGATTATATTTTGACGAAAATATTAAATTGTAAATAACATGCGCACCCCCTTCAAGATGGGATTTGCCGTGGCTTCAAGGTGGACCATGCGCAAAAAATTATCGAAAGGCCGTATACACGTGTGGCAACTGGGACGGAGTGTGGACCCAAAACGCATAATGAAACTAACTATAAGAAAAGAAGGTTGCAACTTCAGAATCAAGTCCCAGCTGCGGTGGATCAATTCAAGCCAATCGCATTGGGATATGTGACATCCAGCGTAAACTTTATATCCTACGTGCCTTTAAAAGTGTACAGGAAATTAATCAGGTCTGGCTATACATACTACAGTCAAGTACAAAAAAATCTTAGCAAAAAGGAGCGAAAAGTTGCGTATATGGCTGCAAGAATATCATCATGCCACCACGCCCCGACCTGTCAGAGAGTACCACGTCGCTTCATCATCCAATATCACTGGACTATCGAAGAGCGAGCAGCTGACTTTGCCTTGTCGCCCTTTGCCAACCAAATACCCGTTACAAATAAGATTGGACAACTGTTTTCGATGCAAAGCCAAGGAAGAAACAAATCCCTGAATCATAAAGAAGATTGTGTAGATGATGATTACTACGACAAAACCTGTTCTTGCGTCCTACATTCTAATGTATCATCATTGCATGCAAACAATGCAGCTCAGAAAACACAACCTGTGTGGAAGTTATTAGTTGAAAGCACGAGGAACCGGACGTCTTTGCTCTTGTTGCTGTTTTCTTTTTGTTGTTGCTGGTCTTGTTATCGAGATCCACATGATCTAGCGATCCGTACCTGCTGTCTGTCGTCCAGTGTACCACGTCGCATATTGCAGCTATTCCACGTGTCTACCAATGCAATGTAAGTAAGCAATGGATATCGTAGCAGTGCAACAGTGCTTCAGGCTTTTGGAACATTACGACATTCAAGTGTCATGTCACATGTAGAGACATCGTTCCAAGTTTCAAATACTTACGTCCCACATGTTCAATAGTGTGTTATTAATGATGGTCACCTCTACGTGTTACACAAAGTAATACAAGCAAAGCAAAGCATCTTCGCCGTCAACAGGGCCTACTGGTATCTCAATGTCACAAAATAAATTACTGCCTAGTGACACGATTGCTCACTAGGCAGTAATTTAGTTCATATCGAACGCTCCATCCATTGGGTGGAGGTGAATCATGCAGTACTTTTAAAATCTGCGACGTCTTGCTTTATTGAAACTGTAGCAAAAGCACGGTGTCTTCCTTCCACTTCTTTATGAACAATAAGGTGAGGAAAAATACTGATTTCAAGTCTGCTCTCGAATTTTAATGCCCGTTTTAGCTCGGCTCTTCTGTTTTTCCTGGTTCTGCTTCGTGTCCCCAGTTCGTCGATAATCTTCCATCGCGGTTTTCATATTCGTCAATCCAGTTTCTTGCGTATCACTGATTCATGCTGTATCGTCCACTTTCAGCTTCCACCGCATATCTCCGTCTATCAGCTGTGACGAGTGCTCAAAACATGATTGAAGATTTCTGTGGCATACATTGTGCTTTACTGTCTATCCAGAATCATCCATAGATAGGATGTAAAGCACCATGTGTGCCTAGCGTTTATCAATGAGCATATGAGATGGCTTGTAATTGGACAGGCAACATTCACCCTCATTGCTTCTGGGTGCCATAAGCTCAACAAATTGCAGTACGAAAGGATGGGCTGATGACGCGAAGAACCAAGTTCACTTGATTCATAGAACCTCCGCAAACATCACACAAAAGGAGTGCAGGAGACAGTAATTGTCTGTTGACAGCTAGGCATTTAGTCGGTCATCGAGTTTAGGTCAATACGATATGGTAAACAGTACAAATGTAAAGCCCATGGCATTGAATGGACAATCGGGAAGAAGGACATCTGATAGATACTACTGGCTGGTGGTATCGACAATCCATTTTCAATATCCTCTGCACATCAATGCGCGTTACTTTGACGAATAACAACGTGATAGGATTGATGGCTCGAAAGCGCCAGGGCAAACAACATGAGGGAAGCTCAGTGGAAGATCCAAGATCGGGAACAAGACGCGACAGCTAGATAACGATACTACAAACCAACTGACCACATTGTTATAACAAGAGCAAGGTCAAAGCCGTTTATGGTCATCGCAGCTTGAAGGCTACAAAGTTCAGCGATTGCAGCCAGTACTACTCACTCACTTCAAGCCTATTGAATTGTTGTTGGCCACAAGCTTCCAGCTGCAGACACGTCTCAGCATGTGGTTGTCCAACTCTTTTCCTTCGGAGACGACACCACAGAGCCACTCGCGCTTGTTTTTCCGTTTTGTCCACGTGATAACAGACAAGTGTCATTGCCTCCATACCACACGCAGTTTCTTAACTATGCAATACTACAGCACGGTCGTCAGTAAATCTGAGCTTGTGGTTTATGATGGATGACCAACACTGCCTTATCATCTGCCACCAGTGCTCTTTTAGGCCTTTGATTGGCATTGTGTCCTAGTTTAAAGTTGGTGGTGGTGCCACCACTATACCTTTTGATGTCTACTCTCCTTAACAGACAATCATGCCAAGATCAATGATCCCTGACGTAAACTTACTTAGCTACTTTGTTGCGATCGGTCTCACGATCCGACCTATACATTCAAAAAAGTGTAAGGCACACGGCAATGTCAGTTAATGCCGTAAGCTGTCTGTCTTCTTCAAGTGCATTTCAGGCAAACATTAACATTGGCCTGAAATGCCTGAGGCATATGGTATGGTACAGCTTAGCTTGCCTTATATCACTGTCGTGAATTTGACAACGACAGCAGCAGCGATCCGTATGTTGTTGGAGTACCGCATAAGTGCTAGTGTCCCTTTGGTCTAGGTTGGCGTTGTTGAGCTACAGTCGTCGTTGTCTTCTGGACACTAAGCGGTCAGTGTGGCCTTTTTGCATGTAGCTCGACTTGATGGGAAGCACCTCTAAGTCACTCGTCAAGACAATCGTCATGTGTTCAGCATCCTGCTGTCCATTTCCTCAACCAGCACTGGCCCGACCGACCAACAGGCACAAGAGCCTTGCCAAAGATGGCTTTGGTTGACACAAATAAGTATCAACTTGCTTGCTCTTGGTCAGCAATGGCAATGAGTTTTAGAACTTCCCAAGTACTTGGTGACAAGAATATGTGGGCTTGAGCGCTTGACGATCACTTATGGCTCATTTTTTTGAGATACGCGATGAGTTAACACCTTACGCGTCACGCGGTTTTTGTTCAGTTGCAGCTCAAAGCACCGGATCGTTGCTGAACCCTCCAGCGGCATGCTGAATCGAGTGACGTGTGCTTTGATCCTCTTTATGCCTCCTCCCCCTGTCCGAAACCTCACCGCCTTCTGCGGCATTCCTCAATCCGGTTTGTTCAAAGCGCTCATTTCCACTTTTGAGACGGGTGGCCAAGTAGCTCCACCACCGAGATCTATCTACTACTTCCTAACGAACGCCAAACCAAGCAAGACAAAAAAAAGAGAGATATGCAGACTAACGGTATGTAACGTGCTGCTACTAGATAGTGAAAGACGAACGAGCTGCTAATCTTGTATCTGTTTGTTTTTCGTGCAATTCTACAGCAAACGACAGTCCTTCAAATTCTGATAGCATAGTAACGTTCTTGCTACCTGACGCCGAATTGGCGTCTAAGGTCACTGCTTACTTGAATGACATTACCGTGACGGACCATAACCCAGCGATTCTCTTTGGCTGGGATAGCGAAGCGGTTGAACAGTTCGTACAGGCAGCGAATGCAGAAGCCGATGGCCATCCTCAATGGTTTTCTGAACCTCGAGGCAGTATCTCGCCCAAGACCGTCATGAATGATATTATCACCTATCTAGCACAGCTTGGTGGCGGTCGTTGTGATCACGTGCTTTTAGCACCCAACTCGCTTATTCAGTATGGTCACTTGCAAGAACGACTTCAATACATGCAGTATGACAAGTTTATGCAGAAATGCATGACCAACGTGACGCCGGGCAGGACACTCGCGCGAACCTTTGCACTAACTGTGCCGTCGGTCGAGCGTGCGGTCCCAACGCAATGTCTTCCACCCCCGCCACCAGTCCGACAGCTCTTTGCGTAATTGACAGCATCTCTCTAGCCGTAATTAGTTAAAATTTTGCTCACATGTTGGCTTTTCGATCTACATGTTTGAACTTTTCACTCCAAGATCAAGGACAAGAAGGAATCCTACGGTGCAATGGAGGAGTCCAGCACAGCTTTATGCAATAAGGTGCGTACTATAGGGTGTTCAGATGGGATAGGGCTCGTACGCATTAAGTCTGGAACCATTAGCAGGTAGACGCTCCTACGAGCACTAATATCTAAGAACCATCTGCGCCTATCCAAGCTTCATACAACTTCTTACGAAGACAAAGTTGTAGTCAGAAAGTTAACAAGCAATCCACGCCTCCATTTGGATTGCTTGGTACATTTCTGACGAACGCTTGACTGTGGGAACTAGGACTCATGGCTTGAGCGACATCGATTGCTACCGTCGTGTACATACGTCTTTGCTCCAAGAAAATCACGATACCTTTTCTCCCCAGGCAACAGACAAATCGTTCATATGTCGCTTTGACAAGACTAAAGAACGCGTGGAAGCTGCTGCCTGGAGGAAGAAGTAATGGGGTCAAATCTACTAACTCTCTCAATACGAAACGCCCGTGTTGTTTGCTGCTTTGCACCTTTGCGTAAAGTGAACTTTCGTCTACGGGTCTGCGGGCATGTATTCAGTTAGTGCAAAAGCGTCGCACTGCTAGACGTAGCAACTGCCAGCTATTGCTAGTTTATGGTGTATATCAGCTGTTTATCATTCCTAACGACGCAAAGACGTCATGTTTGACGCTGTACGACAGAGTTACTGGTAACAAGGTGGCTGTTCTCAAAAGGTTCTTGAATAAGAAGCAGCGTCTCTTTTGATGCTACGCTCAACCTCGAACAAACACGTCATCTTTGATGCTACACTCAATCTCGAACAAACACGTCATCTTCATCTTGATAGAAAGCCACTAAATCAATCAATCGATCGATGTAGCAAGGAATCGACTGAATCGATAGAGAATAATAGACTAGTAGTAGAAGTGTGACTCAAGTCACCATGGAATCACTTGAGCCGATCCGTACTGAGATTTCTCAAGAATCCACGTCCTATTACTTTATGTTTCTATACTGTGTCTCGTTTGAATGGATTCGAATCTTGAAACTTGTCCTACGAGCCGCACGTCTGCCCATCTTCTGAGCCAAATAACCACAAACAGTCAAACATGTCTCGAAAAGCTGCAATACTACTACTACAAAAGTCTTACAACCCCCCCACCCAAGCATTATATACGTCCAAAGGTTGTGTTCTATTCTTGTGGTGGTTTTTAGTTTCAATTTCACACTCTCTCCAAGTCTATTTTCTCTCCTTCCTTCCCCCCCCTCTGTCTTCTCCTCTTTCTCCTATAAGTATGATGAATTCCAGCATGGAAAAACAATGGAAGGATGAGACGACGACGGAAGAATGTTTTCACTCGTCTAAATCAATTCAACATTTGCTTGATAATAACAAGAAATGGCGAGAAGAGTTAGTCAAACGTGATTCCTCTCTTTTTGATCGTACGGCCGTTGGTCAACATCCTGAATATCTCTGGATTGGATGTTCCGATTCTCGTGTGCCAGCGGAGGAGGTCACGGGATTAGATCCTGGTGAGATGTTTTGTCATCGTAATGTTGCAAATTTAGTCGTAACAAATGATATTAATGTCCTCTCGGTCGTCCAATACGCCGTGGAATCACTTCAAGTGAAGGATATTATTGTCTGTGGTCACTATGGATGTGGTGGTGTCAAGGCTGCAATGGAAAATAATCATATTGGGATCTTGGATACGTGGTTACGTACGATTCGTGACATTCATCGGAACCACAAAGACGAATTGGATGCTCTACCAAATGATGATGCACGTTATCGCCGTACCGTGGAGCTCAATGTGAAACAACAATGCCTCAATATATTCAAGATGAATGTAATTCAGCATCGTCTAGGACGGATTGATGAACCCAATATCCATGGTCTTGTCTATGACATTTGCACTGGTGGACTCAAGGAGCTTAAGGTTGATTACCATGGATACTTTTCAAAACTTGTGAGTGACGATAGTCTCCATGCTTTTCCCGATGGTGAACCAACAATGGGTCTCGCCCATCAACGTCGGAATGCAATTCTCGATCTTGGAGACGGTCTTGAGAATGAACCGGGTTTGGTTCGTACTCGTTACATGGCTCGTATGTTAAAACGTGAGTCGGATCTCTTTACACCAGAAGAAGTGGATGAAGCAATTGAAACGATCACGAGTCAGATGGAGGGCGATCCAATGAATTCCTTCCTAAACATCAAAGACCTCATTGCGTACTTTGCACCGATGAAAGCCAAGCAAATGATTGAGGAATGTTAGCTAGACAGACAGAACAGGAGACAGACAGACAGGCGTGACACCGTAGAATCGCTTTTCATTTTTCATTTCAATATACAATTCAAACAGAAGAACGTCTTGATGTCAAGCTCTATAGGAGATCATCACTACCGATTATCTCATAGTATAGCTAGCAACACTAGAATAATGAGCGACCAATTAATTAAGTTGATTGAAGCTCTCGAAACCGTCGGACGTACTCATGTCTTCGAGCACGCTCACGTCATTGGTGTCAATTGTGTCCGTAGTTGCTACTGGTTTGACACTTTTCACTAAAGTTGGAGTAGCATTACAGTCCTCGATAACTTCAGTTTCACCACTGACAGGAGAGAACGGAGAAATGGCAAGCACGTCCGCACATTTCAGGCTGTCAACTTTGACGGATGCCGAATCAAATTTACTGAAATCATCCGACTTGCTGCTGTCAGGTGCGACAAGCAAGACTGTTGAGCTTCCATTGGGATCTATCATTTCTGATGATTCAGATGGTGTTGCTGCGGTGTCAGACAAGCTTGGAGCAGCGCTAAATTCTCCAAAATCAGATTCAGTGTCATCCTCGGCCACGGGCGAGAATACGGACTTGCTAGTAGTCTCCACCACCTCGTTCGACATGACCAACGACGCAGCACTATCTGCTGAAGCTGGAGCTGCACTGAAGTCACCAAAACTAGTAAAGTCATCGCCGTCCACAGCGGCCAGAGCGATTGGCGAGTGCATGGTCGCCGTCTCCGATGCATGTACCGACATCACGCTACCCCTCGATGTAGGAGGAGCACAGAAGTCACCAAATGTATCAAGACTGGTAACTTCTGTCGCAGCAACAGGAGAAGGTGTCGCTGAAAACAGCAAGTTTCCAAAAGATTCTTGTTTTGACGCCAGGTCAGATGATATTGCCGCATTGTCCGTGGACATTGCAGTAGCATCACCGGAATCACCAAACACGTTCAGTTCCTTGTCGCCTGGAGCAACCGGAGATAAAATCAAATTCTCGTTGGCAACATCTGCGGTCGCTAATGTTGAACTGCCATCATTTGAAGCTAGTGTAGTAGCAAAAACATCCAGTACTGGCATCTCTGTCACGGCTGACGATGGGGTTGGTAAGAATGGGGAGCTTTCAGATGCAGGTGTGGACGGAACGATAGGAGCCGCGACCTCGGAGGGAATTAGGTTCGAGCTGAAGTCAGTGCTGCTGTTGCTAGCAACTACAGCTGAAGAAAACTTTGCTGCTGCATCAGGCAACGGTGACAAAAAGGTTTGAAAACCATCCAAGTCAGAAAAACCACGATCATCAATTACAGTAGGTAGCGGCGACGGCGTAATTGTTGAGAACGGTGAAGTTGCATCAACTGCTGCTGGTATGGCGGGTGCCATTCCGGTATCAGCAGCAAAATGTGGCACCGCTGCAGTAAAATCGTCGAATTCAATGCTGTCGCTCATGGCAGCAGAAGAGAAAGTCGCATCAAACGGTGATGTTTCCATAGTATTCCCAACATTAGGTAGTGCTGATGGAGCTACGCCAGCAGATAACGGAGCGACAAAACTACCAAAGGCGTTAAACGTGTTGCTCCCACTAGCGCTCTGAGAGGAAGATGCTGACGGAAATGTAACTGCACCTGCTGGCGAAGGAGTAGCGCTTGCAAATGATCGTGGTGCCGAGTCAAAATTACTAAATGCGTCGAATTCGCTACTATCAGTCGCATCAGGTGAAAACGCAGAGATCGAAGGCGAGCCGGGAACTGCCACGGAAGATGACAAAGCATTGGACCCGTCAAGAATAATATGGGTGCCGGTAAAAGCAGTAGTTCCGCCACCTGCATCTCTTGAAGAATCACTCACCGGCGGCGTTGCTGCGTCAATCAGTGAGGATTGTGACTCTAGTGACAACTTCTGCTGCAACGTCGCGCTCAAAATGGCTTCTTCCAGCTCACTCTCATACCTAGAGATGTCACGTTGTAGCTGACAAACCAATTGCTTCTGATTCTCCACCAGGCTTCGAAGACTCCGCTCTATAGCATGCGCGGTATGTTCTGCAGAACTATCACTTAGTTTACAGGTAAAGGCGGATGCTGCACGCATATTGTCTCGCTTCATTACGAGTGTTACGAGTTCATGACGTAGCTCATCCAGATCGCGTAACTTCTCCAAAACTATCTCGACTGAAGATTGCTTGTCTTCCACACCGGCAATAGCCTCAACGATCTTGCGGTTCTGCTGATCAAGCTTACCCACCAACGTCTTTTCTTCCTCATCACACATAAACGGCTTCTTAGAGGAAGCAACTGACGGTTGGGGCCCGCCTGAGCCCATTCCACCAAGTGGAGAGTATGTCTGAAAACCCAGAGTATCCGATTGCATCTGAAGAGGAAACTGGCGCGTCGGTTGCTGAGTTGGAAGCGGTGCTAGTCCATTGAAGCTACTCATTGAACTCAATGACGATGCCGATTTTGTACGGTCCCTGCCAACAACACTGGGAGTCCGCGATGTTGGAAAGCTGTTGACATCATGCTGTTCTGCCGGTGCAGAGCTCTCCATGTGAAGACTACCAGCAGGAGTGAGAACTGACGGCTCACTTGAGTCATTCAGCTGACTGTTCTTTGCATTATTATCGGTGTGGGCAAAAGTGCTGTCGTGCAAAGAACGTGGCGTAGACGAAGTCAAGTTTAGTAGTGGCGCGTCCTTAACGGTAGGCAATGAATCAAAAGCAGACATCCCCTGAGGCTTCGGAGGTGGCACGCTATCTTGTTGCGGTCTCGTTAGTCCGTTGTGGGATGGAGAAGCTGTCACGTGAGATCCGTAACCAGGGCTAGATACAAATGGTGCATTTCCCCCTGCACCGAAAGCAGCCTCTTTTAGTTCACGAGGAAACGTGGGTGGCATCGGTAGTCCACGCTTGCTCAGACACACGATTAGATGCATTGCCACGTAGAACTCTTGAATGCTTAGTTTGCTATCTTGCGTCACATCTGCCATCGACCAAATATCTCGTAGTATCTACATCCACGCATTCATCACAACACAGCACTATCATCGTCACAACAACAAAAAACAGGCACATCATCAATAAAAGTACGTCAGTATCAATTACTTACATTGCGATCAAGACCAGACAGTTGAAACAACGCCACTGCCTCAGGTCCCATCAGAAATCCATCCTGATCAGTATCATACTGCTGAAAAATAGCATCATACTTGTGTTTGTCTTCTATCGTAAGTCCGTACATTGTTCCAGAGCTCAAAGGCTGTTGTGAATGTAGAGCACGACAATCTCGTTGCGGAGTATGCAATCGCGCATGAGTTGACGTCTGCATTGCCACTTGTGTTGTCATCTGATGCCTTTCTCGAGGTAGCGGTATCCCATCGATTCGAGCAAGAGGGTATTGCGTTGCTGCAAGCTCATAAAATCGCTTTAAAGTCACTGGTTCTCCATGCTGCGCCATACTAATTAGTCTCATGGCTGCATAAAATTCATTCCGTGATAATTCACTCCTATGTTGACTATCGGCAACATTCCATATCTAAAGTTGCAGCAACAAGTAAGTCGTTTGATTCGTTTTGACAGTAATGGTTTAAGCAACTTCAAATAAATGAGCAACTTTACCTCACGTAAAACCGTTTTATCTAAATATGACCGTGTAAAGAATCCAACTGCTTGGTGACCTTTAATTGTATGAACATGCTGTGTATCCACATATGTAAACAAATGATTGTAATATTGCACTTCTTGGTGCGAGATGGGGACCCACAGATTAAGTGGAGTGTCATGATTCATACTACTCTGTGTTGTATACATTTCCATATTCATTAAGGATGTTTTCAGTAGCTGAATAGAGGGGGAGGGGGTGAAATGCTAATAGGGACTCTATAGTGTTGCGCAAAGAATGAGGATGGATGGAGTTGAGAATGATAGATCGTACTTAATGATAGCAGCAAGTTGATAGAATGACTAGTTGAAGCTAGTTATGTTGCTGGTAATTAATGCTGTTTTCCTTTTTATATCATGTGTTTTTTTTCTGCTTGTTACTTTTAGCTTTCTTCACGTTGGCATTTCTACTGGCACCACTTCTCTTGTTAGAAATACGGACAATGGGAGGTGGAAGTGTTTCTAAATATCAGTAAATACAATCACATTCAGCCAATTTAGTGACCATTGATCACGATAGCAAGAAAGCAGGCGTGTGTTTTTTTGCCTGTTGGACGTACCGTTGGTAAATTCAATCGCAAAAACTTGATTGATACCGATTGCCAGCTTTTGAATGGCTGGGAGCTCGCGTACTTTAGTCGGTGTGTCCAATGAACTGATCTGTGTTTCACCCAAACCAAGTTGACCGAGCTGATTACGACCCCACGAATACACTTCACCTGTGCTCGTGAGCGCCACTGAAAAGTCGTCGCCACAGCCAATCTGTTTCATATTCTTGTCAGAGCTAAAGGAAGTGACATGCACAGGCGTTGAGATGCAATTCGCCGCCGACGTTTTCCTGAGTTTTATGCCAAGCTGGCCATACTCATTGTCACCCATGGCAAACAGACGTCCATCTTGAAGGACTATGAGCGTATGCTGGGCACCACACGCAACCAGCTTGACTGTATCGTGCTTGAAAGCCTGGTAAGAACCAAAAATTAGTCCAAAACATGTTGAATTGTACGAACGACGTGTTTCAAACCTGGACAAATCGAGGTCGGGGAACACGAAATTGCGAGCAAAAGAACTTTGACTGTCCCGCTGGTTCCACAGGTTTTGGGTGCCCGATTTGACCTAGATTGATACACAAAACGAACTCATTTATGAACATTCCTCGCTTCGGAAAACTCTAGCTCAATATATAATACAACATACCACGTTCGCCATAACCCCACGTCCAAATCCCTTTTGTACTAAGATCAGATAAAATACCCGTTAGTCAGCCCTCATATTGCCCGTAGGATGTCGAGGCAAAATCAAGTTACCCGGCAACGACGGCGACAGCATGCGATCTACCAGTGGCTAGCTGCGTGATGTCACGACCTAGTAAGAACTCTGCGGGCTCTTCAATGTCCTCATTTTCCTTCTACAGCACACAATACAAATGTCCCGAGTGAGCAACTTTCCACTTCCACTTCCAGTGCATCTTTTTCTTACGCTAGTTAGGTCAGGCGCGTCATTATTGAGAAGCTGCGGGACCCATTGATTCTTGTTGGACGCATCACCCAGCTGCCCTTGAGAATTGGATCCCATGCTCATACAAACACCCGGTCTCTTAGTGTTGAACTGGTCATCGTCACCAGTGTCTTTTGTTGTCATGAGCACAAAGTCGCCACCACATGCAGCTGAGGATAACGGCCCGAACATGTACAGTCATAAACGTCTTAACAACCAGATTCGATCACCAAAAGCGAATCATCGCAAGCATACCTAGCTCAACAGGCACTTCTAGTTCTCTTAACGCAGAAATCTTCTTAGGCACTTTCTTATTCTTGTTCTCTTGGTGACCTAATTGTCCAAACTCGCCATTTCCCCACGTGTAAACATGCCCACCAGTCGTTACTACCATACTAAAGTTAGCGCCTGCATGGATCTGCGAGAATCTATAGTACACAGGTGTTATAACGAATGTTATCAAGACAAAAAATAAACTCAAGTCTTCTCACAACCAGCCTATACCTTCCTTCGCCTTTCGAGCGTTTCTCTTCCGTCATCGATTCCAACTGCATACAAGCATGCACATATTTACAATGTTGACTCATTCATGACGACAAAATGTGTACATTGTAGCCAATATCATACCAAACGCAAGTGACACAGCTTCTCATGTACAACGTCCTGGTGTCCCAATTGGCCGCATAAACCCGTGCCGACCGAGTATAGATTCGTATCATTACAAAGCACGAGAGTACTTGTCTCACAACAAGCAATATCCAATACACCAATACCGTCTAGCTCATGTACCTTCGTAGGTTTCCAGATAACTTTAGCTTCTGTATCCCAGAGTGCAAGCTTCAGAACCAATACAAGACATTAATGATACTTAATACTTAAATGCTTATAAATGTAGCCATTTTTACTATCTTCAACATCAAAAGGATGATGACGTACCTGCCCATCCTCATTGTCGCCCCAGACAAAAATAGACGAGACAGGCAGTTTACCCGCCTCTGAGTCAGCCACAAATAAAGCAATAATAAATTACCATCAAGCAACTTTACCACAAAACCTCGTAGCAATAAATTACACGCACCAAGAGCAGGGACACGACCGGCACAAAACTTGCAGAACCAGTCGCCTTCGGGCACTGCCGGCTTCCGTGCAAAGTTAGTGCGTGGCTTGGTCATACAGCACGTACATCCCTGATGACATGCAGTATGAAAGGGACGATCGCAGCCGTCACACAGCATTAAGAACTCTTCGTCATCCTCCTTACCGCACACACGGCATGCGTCATCACTCAAGAGCTTGGGCGCCATCGATAACGAAGCAAATACGATCGCTTGGTAGACATGAATACTTGATAAAACGAATATTACAGACATGATTCATTTCTACAAGATATGATTGTTAAAACAGATATATTTAATGAAGAGTACTACTATTTGATACTTATTTCTTATATCTGTGTTGCTATTCTGAGAGCAAAGTATAGATAGACAAAAACAATTCCGTCTGGATTACAATCGTAGCTTGCTATCATAATTTAGAAAATAGAACTTTAGAATGCCACAGTTTTGAAAAAAGACGTTCCATTGGGTCTTTCGTCACAAAACAAACAACAAGTGCATGTAATATGATGTTTCCTATCAACGAGAGCGTAGAACGGCAATCATATGGTCTCCCTTATAACCAATCTGTCGTGCTGCTTGACCTGGAGGTAAGAGAAAAATTTTAAACCCTTGAGGTTCCATCTCCGTAGCTGCTCCAGCACGTGCGTGACCGCCTCGTCCTTCGATAAGGTAATCAACAAATTCACGGTAGCCGCTTGCGTCCGCCATTGACTCGGGTTTAAGTTCGTAAACAACTCGTCGTATGTTTGGCCGATCAAGCTGCAAAAACTCGGGTGACCTCTTCAAATGTGGCAGTGTTACCACATCCAGATACAACGGCCTAAACAGTGTAAAGTGTGACGTTAGTTAACAAGTGCTATCTATACCCGGTAGTAAGCGAGATAGATACAGCGACGTACAACTGGCGGCTAATGCCGACCGATAGAGAGGTCGCACTGCAGCGACACTTGACCTTGCCACTGCGTTTTAACTCAAAGTTCCATTCACTTGGAATCTATATATCAAGCAACCACCACTAGTTAAACCCGCAACACAACAACAATAACGTGAACACATTAGGACACAACAAACACGTACCTCAAATGGCCCAGGCTCCATCACACGCGGGCTATCAGGCAAAGGCCCGTTGTTTAATGGTCGCTGCGGCGGCCCACCACGTTCCCAGCTACGGTCCCTTTTGCGCATCACTTCACTCGAGGGCGGTCGGTTCATACTGCGGCTTCGACCTCGCGGACGAAACGTGTTTGACCGACCATCAGGTTCAAGCGAAGGACTACAAGGACCTCGTATGCCAACGTGAGGTGGAAAGCCACCACCACGTGGAGGACTTAAAACTTCCCATCATCGGTGATCCACTGTCTTTGAATGGAGGAAGACTGCCAGGACCACGGCCATCGAAACCATTGCGTGGCGGACTTCTCGGTCCTCCCATACCCATCCTGCCAGGGCTTCTCGGTCCACTCATACCCATCCTGCCAAGACTTCCCGACCTAGACCGACGATCAGGAAGTCCGAAGGCGGGGCCGTTGCGTGGAGGAACATGCTGGGGGCCACGAGAAAGCGGGCTGCGACTACGACTCCGACGAGGTCCACCTGGGCCACACTCTCCAATCATCCTACCACGCGGGCTGTCTCGTCCGCCATCGCGAAAGTCTCTTCTTGGACCACCTCGTCCAGGGCTCATCGACTGTCCCCGCCAGTAGCCTTCACGCGGCGGAGAACGTCCACGAGGGCCGCCTGGATGACCGTTGAACCCGTCGCGTCGAGGGCTACGTCCACCTTGAAAACCATTACGCAATGGGCTACCCATACCGCTATTGTGGCCACCGCGTGGCGGACTGCCTAGTTTCCCGTCAAAACCACCGCGTAGCGGGCTGCCATGTCTTCCGTCAAAGCCACCGCGGGGCGGGCTACCAGGCCGTCCGGTAAAGCCACCGCGTGGCGGGCTGCCAGGCCGTCCGTTAAAGCCACCGCGTGGCGGGCTGCCAGGCCGTCCGTTAAAGCCACCGCGTGGCGGGCTGCCAAGTCTTCCGTTAAAGCCACCGCGTGACGGGCTGCCAGGCCGTCCGCTAAAGCCACCGCGTAGCGGGCTGCCAAGTCTTCCGTTAAAGTGACCACGTGACGGGCTGCCAAGTTTTCCGTCACACCCACCACAAAGCGGACTGACGGGCCTTCCGTCAAAACCACCGCGTGGCGGGCTGCCAGGCCGTCGACAAGGACTGCCTGGTCGGCCACCAAATCTACCTTGCGGACTGCGCACACCTCTTGCATGTCCGTCAAAATATCCGTTGTGTCCAGAAAGAGGGTCTTCAGAGCGTCTATTCCCACGTGGGGGCCATGACTGGCCATCTCCATTTATATCACCTGGCATGCCATTACCATTGCGTCCACGACTTCTGCTGCGATTTCGGCTGCGTCCTCTCAAGGGATCTTCCGGTCCTCTCATCATCTTTAGCGGAGACTTTGGTGACCTCGATCCTCCATATTCTTCCATACTTCGAGACGTCATACCACGTCCGTCATTAGTCACTTTGATTGATCCGCCACCTCGCGAAGCTGCATACTGTTCGTTTCGCGGTGGATGCGACAGCGGCAAAGGAGACGATTGCACAGGAGCACGATCACGTTCAAACGCAGCAGCAGACGGCGACAATGGAACAGTGTGAGCGTCAATAGTAGAATGAACAGAAGTACAAGAAGTGCCAACAGCCGTTAGTTGGGTATTATCTTCAGCAGCAAGGACATAAGAAGCTGACGCCTTGGGCTGTAACGTATCTACTACTGCTTCCTGCTGAGACCCCATAAGCTGTCCCTCGAGTTCCTCTTCGGGCTCTTGCTTATCATCATCAGCAGGTAGAACAGCAGCAGCAGACACGCCAGAGCCCGAGAGTACAGTATCATGTGTAATATCATCATTACTGACCACTTCACCAGCTTCTAATTCTTTTTCGTCTGTAAGAAGGTCATATCATCATTGTACATAGTAATGTTACAAATGGTACCATCAAATAGACACACATGGAATCGATATTACCCGTTGAATTCGATATCTCCACAGGTGGTTGCACCGCACCATCATCATTAGGCAGCACGTAGCTCTTGATATTCAAGTACTTTTCATAAATCGCCTCACCGCTACTGCGTCGCTTTGCCTTCAACGGAACTATTGAGTCTTTTCCTTCCATTCAGCCAACCAAGCTATTTAAAAAATATCAAGTGCAGTGTGGTCCACGTTAAAAACGTTCATTCAGCCATGACCAAATGATCAAGTTCACAGAGTAGAAAGGGAAAAAAACACACAAATCAGAAAAAAAGGTGCGATTGAAGAGTCGATAAAAAAACACACACGACAAAAACACGTTTTGTGCAAAAAACCCAATAATAAGTAAAGGATCTTTTTGCTTTTTTGTGTATTCGTTTTCTGTCTTAACGTCTTTTTTAATCAAAAGAGACCTACCTACCTAGAGCATTCCTTCCTCTCTCTCTCCTATCGACGCCTTCTACGCCTTGTATCACACACACACGTCGGTTGATTGCAATAATTAATCTTACCATCATGTCTCGAGATTAGTACGTATTCCTGTTATAATAGCTCTACTATCTTGGATACTCACTCATTCAGTATTATCCTTGTTTGCTAATGCGACTATCTCGTTCGTTGATACAATCTATAAGCAGTGATCATTTATTTAAGCTTGTGTTGATTGGAGATTCTGGTGTTGGCAAGTCTTGTCTATTACTGCGCTTTGCAGTACGTATAGAGACATTGTTGATTGATTGTTTGGTACATGGAATTTAGTCGATGAGGTTTTTGTGGATTAAAGTGGAGACAAATCGGTTCTAATTGATTGTTTGTATTATATCTTTGGTGTTGTTGTTGTGTGTATCTATATGATAGGATGATGCGTTTACAGAGAGTTATATCACGACTATTGGAGTGGATTTTGTATGTAATTAATGTATGTGTGACGTATAGAACTCGTGACACATTTGTGTGACCGACCTATTGGTGTTTTGTTTTCGTGCTCTATAGAGATTTCGTACGGTAAAGATTGACAACAAGATTGTAAAGCTTCAGATTGTACGTGTTGCCTTATGTTCGTCTTTATTTATTTCGTTGTTGTTGTTGTTGTTGTTGTCAAGACATGGAAAGAAAGATGATGGCGTTTATTTTGGAATGTTTTTTTGTGCTTGCATTAGTGGGATACGGCAGGACAGGAACGATTTCGCACGATCACGAGTGCGTATTACCGTGGAGCAGACGGTATTATCATGGTTTATGACGTCACAAGTCAGGTAATTAGTAGTTGTATATGTCGTTGGTGTTTATACTGGTTGACACTTTGATTGATTACCTCTTGTGCTTGCTCGTTACCATGATAGGAATCATTCGACCACGTAAATGACTGGCTGAATGAAGTAAATCGCTACGCCAGCGAAGGCACATGCAAGCTTCTTGTGGGCAACAAGAGCGATATTAGTGATAACAAGGTTGTGTCGTACGAGACGGCCAAAGCTTTTGCAGACAGCCTGTCGATCCCATTTCTCGAAACAAGTGCCAAGAATGCGCAGAATGTAGAGGAGGCATTCCTTACCATGGCTTCGGAACTGATCACGATTCGTGAAATGGTGGGTGACTCGAACCGACCTGTTGGTACCAAGGTAAATTGCTCGTTTCAGTGATATTTCTGTGTGCTATTAAGCCCAGTACGTGTTGCATTTACCCGACGCATACTATTTCTCGTGTTCATAGTTGACGGAGAACACCAAAAGTAGCGGCAATTCCAACGGATGCTCATGCAACTAACATTTGATGCCCCAATCCCTACCGGTACGGTTCTTCTTCAAGCCAGCGGTAAAATATATCAAGCCCATACGCGAGTCATTTGATGATTTGAAGCACAATCACACCGGCTATCTAGCCATTATGAAAATTTAAGGCACTCAAACCGACATTCACATTGTATTTGTTGGTCATGCACTCTTGTGCGAAGAAGTAAACAAAAAAGCTCTCTAAGACACCAAGTTCCCTCAACGATGCTACTCGCGCTTAGGCGTTCTGCGCTAACGCTCTCAATGGTCGAAGTACGAAACTATCTTCTCGATGTCGACAGTACTGTCGTCAGTCTCGTCTTCCTGTGCCCTGGTGATTGCACTGTTTATCTCTGTCTCACTGAAAAGAATCGGCTCCTTGGACATAGCGCGCTTCATGAACTTGACGCTCACGCGACCTGGCTCTTCGTCATGACCCTCAGCGAGAGATCGAATCATGTTGCATTGCAGCTGAGATCGATGCTTTGGGACTTCAGCTGGAAAGGAGTGCAGCTTGTAGATAGATTGGTACTTTTGCACATAGGAGTCAAAGTCAATGTCCATTTCGTTCAATTGACCATTCTTCAGGTCATACACAAGACCGTGGATGCGTGGAAAGCCGTACTTGACTTGATGACGCTGTACCAGACCAATCTTGAACACATTGATGCATTGTTCGATCGTGTTAAGCTCGACCATTCTCCGCATACGTTGATCATGGTCACTAATCTCCTGCAGCTCATTGCTATGGATTCGGGCAACTACAAAACCATGTATATAAAACACACCACGTGAGACACACACACTACACAAAGCTATAACTACATAGAGCACTAGCAATCAACCAACCAACCAAAATCAAAAAAAATTTCGTCGTACCATCACGAATGTTGCGTAGCCAATTGTCAAGCAACCCCAAGTGTTTATTGTCCACAGCAGCATGAACACCACCGCATCCATAGTGACCACACACAATAATATCCTTCACCTTAAGATATTCAACAGCATACTGTACGACCGAGAGGGAATTAAGATCGTTGCTTACCACAAGGTTTGCAACATTACGATGGACAAACATTTCACCTGGTGCAAGACCAGTAATTTCCTCAGCAGGAACACGTGAGTCTGAACAACCAATCCATAAATACTGTGGATGTTGACCTTGTGATGTTTTACCAAAATAATCCGGATCCAAGAGTTTCTTGCCTTCACACCACTTTTTGTTATTCACAAAGAGACGACTGATCGATGGCGACAATGCCGTGGCTGATGCACAGGCTATTTGAAGTGGTGCAGCTGCGACCACACGAGGTAAGAGGAGCGAGGAACTTCTTAATGCACGGTGAAACATTCGGGGAAGAGTTTATGGGTGATTGGACGTGGGTTTTTTTGTGTGACAAGCTAATGGACGGATGAGCTCGAGTCGGCAAAGTTGAAAATGACACTGGATGAAAAAGCGGCTCGAGGGTCGGATTTAAGGAGATTATATGTTTGTTTCGATATAACACCCCAAAATATAGTCAAGCGGATATTTTTTAGTGTAAAAACACTCCGGATGATTGAGTTAGCTGCTAAGACTTGCAATATTTGATATAGATCAACGCTATCAAATATTAACGATCACAGGGAAACGACATGTCAATGCACAATATCCACCAATGATTGCTTCGTAGCCGCACATTAGCCAATCCTTGCGCAAGAACAAAACCGTGGCAAGTGGCCGCTCCAATCACGTCGTTCCTACGACGATATGCTTCGTGTCAAAAGCAACAACCCTTGTTCCAGCAACATACGTATGGACGCAAACTTTTGTCCTTATATTCCCATCTTGACGCTAAAGGAAGGTGTTTATGGCTTGAGCTGTGTAAACTTCAATGTACTATCGAGTATTTGATTGGCTAAAAGTCGACTTTATTGAATCCATTCAAATTCAATTATCAAGTATGACAAACAATCCCAAGTGGACCGGCGACTCCACACGTAGCGGCGACGTTACTTAACAGTTTGGTAAATGTCCGTAGGCTCCAATAACAACGCTATGCACCATGATCAGGACCCACTAGCGCCACCACCCAACTCGTTTACAAGCGCTAGTACAACAAACAAAGCCTTGACGCCCCATCGTCAGTTAAGTGAATTGCTACGATTGATTGATCCCAAGTATTGTTTCCATCCAGCAGTAGAGGAGTTACTATTGGACATGGCATCGGACTTTGTACACGATGTGGTGGATTTTTCTGCGAAATTAGCCAAGCACAGACGCTCTACAACGCTCGAGCCACGTGACTTGCAGTTTTGTTTAGCAAAGAACTATGGTATTTCTCTTGCTGGTGTGCTCCCTACTACAGCAAGTGGTGCTATCATGAACTCAGCTTTGAGACCATTAGGTCAAGATCTACTGGTGCGTCCACGACCAGCAAAGAACTCGCTACATATGCATTGGATGGCGTTGAAGCGCAAGTCGCTGCTTCATACGAAAACAAAGCTCAAGAACGCACATGCAGTTAAAGTGACGGATGGCGGGAAAAAGGTGGTACGCAGGGCTAGTGTCAGCAAGTAGTGATACAGATTTCTCAAGGCACAAGGGGAATTGATTCCCCTTTTTCCACGTTTCTTCTGAGCACAGAATTCATTTCAACAAGGTTTTATTGGCTTTTGTACACGAATTGCCTTTGCCGTTATACTATCTCACCAAGACTATTCACGACATCAGTATCAAACTCTAGTCGTGGAGTTTTTGATAAAGGCACCGACACATCCTCATAGCTAGCAGGCATTGCTGATGATACAGTACTTATGGTAACAGAAGAGGAAATAATGGGACCAGATGGAGCGGTACTAGTGCTGTTTCCAGCACTGCGAGAGCGTTTTTTTTGACCTTGTACTGCGTACAGAGATGGCTGGAAGCAATGAGTGATCTTTGTATAGGTCTCCAGCAACAGGAATCTCGATCCGCAGATTCCGGTGTATTTCCGCATAGGTAGTTGCTTTATAAATTGGGTCAAAGCTATCCAGCAGTACCGCCTCTTTACCAAAATGCATTGATGCTGCGATAAAGTGGCAGCATGGCAAGCCTAGCTGGAACATCTGCCCGCATGTGCAGGTACGCAGTGCTAGATCTATTCTGTAAGTAATTTTTGGACGTGCACCCATTAGCCACGCGAATGCAACTTGCTCGTCACACCTACGCACGGCGTATCTAGCGGCAGCTTGCATTTCCTGTCGATATAATGTGTCAGCACCTGGTGTAAGTAATGACGACGAGTGACCTTCTGTTGTCAAAAGCTTTGCAGCCACTTGGCTTTTCTTGAAATTGCCATCCATGAGGAAGGCCAAGAACGTGTACATGAGGTCGAAAGGGGCCTCGTCGCTGCGTTGAATTTCAGAACCGAGTACCGCCTCATCAGCACCTGTACTCGCCCAGCGGTAGAGCCTGATTGACCGATTAGGATAGAATGCCCAATTTTTGGGGTGGATTGCCCGCAAAAATGCCGCTGCAGCACTGTTGAGCGCTTCAAGACCACCAAGAATATTGAAAAAAGCCTCCTCACTTTCCTGTCGCTGCAACTCCCATACCTTCTCTTCTAGCGGCCCAAGTGCAGGAATGTTCTTGTCACAAGCCATTTCCTCCAGCAAACTGCGAACACAAAACATTATCTTTGCATGGGGTGCATCATGAGCCAAAGCGCGAAGGAGGCCATGTTCACTGTGCGAACAAAGCACAAGATTTCCATCGAAGCGAGCACCACCACGCTGGGCTAGCATGAGAAACCACTTCATATGATCCATATCACTTGTCGGCAGCAATGCGAACGCCAGTGCCTGATATCTAAAATTGCCATCGCGCATGATGAGCAATGCCATACAACCTTGGTAACTCATTGTATCATAGTGCAGCACGTGAATGCCAGAAATCTGCTGCTGGTCTGCCAATACTGCCGTCGACGCGTTCGGCATAACAAATGCCCGAATAAAATGTCCCTGTGCGTCCTTTTGAAAGTTAGCAATCGATCCAGGGTTTTTCTTAGCAAAGGACTCAATCAAGCTTGGAATATACTTGTAGCTCTCAGTGAGGTCATCTGTAGATGTAGCAACCACAAGTCGTTGGGCGCGGTACGCCATGCCACGAGGAATATGGATGCCCGATTCAGAGTGCATTAAGAAGTTGTCGGTCAGTAGCTTGCCGGATGACTTTGAGTGTGTGATCACTGCCTGTCGGAAAAAACGCATCTCGGCCAGCTGCCGTGCAGTAGGCTTTGGTACTCCCGTGCACGTACCCGAGTGTTTCAGGTTCATAGCAGATATCTTCCAGTTTTTTGATTTCCATCCTTTGACAAGCTGTACAAACCAAAGACATTGCTCGTCCGAGCATACATACTTTTTGTTGCTACCACCGTTGTTGCGCTTGCATAGCTTCGAGCGCTTGCGCTGCATTACTAGTGCAAAGTCACTTATTGCTTTAGTGGCTTCCTTTCCAGTGGTCCAACGCATTTCATGTGTCAATTGGTATTTAGAAAAATCGTCAACCAGTAACGAGCCTCCAACCGGAAGTCCTGACACTTCCTGTGAATGGCCAGCTTTTGCTTTCGCCACTGTCGGCGCGGGTGTCAGTTTCTTGCGTGCACTAAAATTGCACGTTTCCAAACATTCCTTAGAGTGTAGCAAAGTCATTGATAGCACTGTGTATCGACACGATCCATCAGCAGACTCATCCAACACCACCATCCATCCACAATTGGAGTTGCGGTGATTTTGACATACCACTCGACGTACCATGACACTCTTTCCCCGCCATGGCATTAAAACTGCCTTCTCCGCCATCGCTCGACGTCCCATCTGATTTGATAGAGCACGAATAGCTCCAATCGCTTCTTTCCAGTCTAGAAACACCATACCCACATAGACTGATGCGCCCATGGTAGCCGCAGCTATTTCGCCTCCATTCGTTGCCTCCAACGTCGCTGTTGGATTGGCATTCATCATCAATTGATCCGTCGTCATGGACGTTGTCAATCCAATCACAGTATCAGTCATTGCTGCATCTTCTCTCTTCTTTACTAGACAATGAGTCTTATGATGTTCCATGTTCATACTAGAGATCTTCCACTTCTTTTCACCCTTGACAAATAATAGACGTACAAACCACTTACAAAAGGGTGCATTTTCACATACAATCACCGCATTATTTGTTGTACATTTCAAAGACGTCGTCGTAACCACTGGACTACGAATTAAACCAGATGTGGCTTTATCATCTTCCATAACGTTCATGGACGAAAGACCAAGCAATGACGTTTTAGTACTGGAGTTTACATGCTGTATAGATACATGACGTTGTTGTATTTTCTCTGCAAATGTCTCAATGACGGCAATAGCGTCTGCAATCGTTGCATAACGCTCTTCCTTTCGAGGCTCAAGAATTGTGACCATTGGATTGAATTGATCCACTAAAACCTACTACAACTGTCTATTCCCAATGAACGGTCTACTAAAAAGGACGGGTCACAAAAGTCGGACAAGAGTGAGCAACGTTTTTATGTTACAACTCTCATGTATACTTTAATAAGTATCAAACGACTTGACACAGTCGAATAGTAAGTTAAATCAAAAACCATGAAAAGTATTCGAATCTGTGCATTTTGCTGTGAATGCTTTCGAAGAAAGAATCAAATTATCTATGAGGTAGAGAGATAAGAAGAAGTCATAGATAGACATTGATACTAGTAATAGGATCGTAATATTAGTTTGATATGGTTGAAACCAATCTCAACTTTGCTGTTTATCTTTTATTATTGATAGGATTCATTGGTTCTTGCTATCGTAGACCATATGCCAAAAGCAAAGAAACATGTACTAGTGATACCACATGAGCATCTTTCATCAGTAGATAGTCTTACCTCGGCACACACAGACCTACGTACGTAGCATTGTTACCTCTGAAACGGATGTTGGGAATAGAACTCACTGGGTGCTGTTGTTTGTTGGTTTAATTTGAAAGTCGAGCACATGCTCATAACAGGTAAAGACATTCTGGCAAAAGATGGCTATATTGATAAAGAAAACCGTGAGTAAGTTGACGAATGTCCGTATGCTGCAGTCCATTTTTGTTTTGATTGGATTTGAAAGCTAATATGGTGCATTAACCCTTCACTTACGTTAGATTTGGTTTCCATCGCTCTCTCTTTGCCTCTATTCCGCACCTACACATGCACTGCTTTGGTCTTCCATTTGTTCCAATGTGGAATCGCTTGCGGTATACTGAAACCATTATGCCATCGTACGTCCGCGCTGAGAATGCTCTCGCTGCGCTTCGCACGAAGTGAGATACATTCGACACCATTACAACAACTTGGCCGGTCATCAACGGATTGTTACAAACGTAACATTCAAATTTGCTGTCCGTGTCTGTACGAGCTTGTTTACTCGTACGTACCGGACTCAATGTACTTAAATTGTTGACTCTGTGTGCTCTGTGACTTGGACTTGACCACATACTTGTTCACTCGTATGGTCTTAAGCAAACCTTCCGACATGTCATTAAATGTCTCTTCCAAGCTCTCGACAGCGTCATTGTGTGCCAATATTAGCTTTTGCAGTGCCTCTGTGTTTTTTTCACGTGGTTTCTCGACCATAAGCTGTCGGTCTTCTTCCTCCATCTCCGGATCTTCTCGAGTCCTCAAGAGTAGCGGAATATCCGCAGGATTGGGCGTCGACATTCTTGGAACACAAGCAAAATGCTGCATTAAATCTGGTATTTCTTCATTCATGTTCTCCAATTGTTTAGAAATCACCATATACTGGCTCAGTAATTCCGGCCTATAGAATAACCCACAACAAGGACGGATTATCAGCCAGTCAGTCAGTCATATTAAAGGCTCCAATTATCATGATATAACATTCTTCTTACCAGGTACTAGCCGGATTCCATGCTAGATTATGTTCAAGACGAGCGACTGTATGACGTAGATGGTCTGCGCGCGCTCGAATGCTGCTCAGCGCGCGCTCGACATCGCCTCCTACTGCTCCAGACTGCATCACTCGAAATACACACAAGAAAGAATCTCTGGTGTAAATATGAAAAACCCAATTACAAAATAAGAAAAACCCAAGGACAAAAGTAAAAAGTGTGAAAAAATTGTAAATGATCATTAACTTGAAAATCACGTTATTAACTTAAAATTTCGCACCTCTTGAAGCTAAATGATGACAGACTGGCACACACACAAGCGACGAAAGCTCACGACAATGCAAGATGTTGTGAGTAATAATAATCCGGCACCATCTGCCGCTCCTTCTTATAACAAACTTGGCTTGTACCTAACGCAGTTAATCGATACACCAACGAGTCATAACTGTACGATGAATCAACATTGTGTATTTGTTTGATTGTAGCATTTCTCAAATACTGAATTAAGTTATATGATTTTTCTGTCTAGTACACACAAAGAGTCTTCAAAATGACCTTCTAACGGGTGAATTCTTTCGTTGTTTATTAACAAATTACATGTATGATCTTCCATGGCTATTTGCCGAGTGTCCACGACTGAGACAAGTTCCAGTGCTTCTTGTGCATGGAGAAAGAGATCGAAAAAGGTGCGTTATAGAGGAGTAAAGTGGTATTTTGTAGTGTTGATTATGTGATTTTCTTATTGTGATATTTGTGCTTTTCTTATTGTGATATTTGTGCTTTACTTATTGTAATATTTGTGCTTATTTAGGATGATGAAAGAGTGTCAAGAGTATACAAATGTGACGCCTGTGGCCCCACCTTTACCTATTCCATATGGGACGCACCATACGAAAATGTTGGTTGCACTGTACTCGTCAAAAGTACGGGTGGCAATATTTACGGCTAATTTTTTGTCAAATGATTGGAACACAAAGACACAAGGTGTATGGTACCAGGACTTTGGTCTGAAGATTCTTGGTGATAGTGAAGATGAAGAGACAAAAGAGGAAAAAGTTACAAAGAGTGCTGATGCTGCTGACTTTGAAGCTGATTTGGTCCATTATTTATCGTCTCTTGGAGAGCAAGTGAAGCTGTTTTGTAGAGAGCTCAATCGTTTTGATTTCTCGACGGCGAAGGTTGCATTGGTTCCATCAGTTCCAGGAGTTCATAGAGGAAAAGGTAAGAAGTCTGGGTAAACTTCCACTCGAGCAATAAACTTACAAATTGAGTGCTGGTATACTGGACAGATATGGAGAAATATGGACATCTTCGTGTGCGCAAGTAAGGTACCATTTCTCTTTTTTTGATCGAATTGGTTGTGTCTCACTCCTTTCTTTATAGACTTTTAAACATGTACAAAATTCCTCGGACAGACAACCCATTAATTTGCCAGGTATGTGAATAGCGGCAGTTTTCCATGATAACATTAGATTGCAGTTGTGATGCAGTGAATTATATGCTTGTGCCCTTATTCTAGTTCTCTAGCTTGGGTTCACTTGACGAGAAATGGGTCTTTGGGGAGTTTGCAGAGAGTTTTTTGCCTGGGAAGAAGAACATGTCTTCAACCTTCATGCCTATCGATGCACTTCATATAATTTGGCCCTCGGTCAAGGATGTGGTATGGTCACATTTAAGACGAGCTTCATAAACGACACTTACTCAGCTCATTTTTTTGATCATCGCAGCAAAACTCACTTGAGGGGTGGAACTCAGGACGATCAATACCGTGCCCGCTCAAGAATATGAAATCTTTCTTGCACAAGTATCTAAGAAAATGGTCACCTCCACCAGCTCTTCATCGGCAGAATGCAATGCCGCACATCAAGTCGTACGCTCGCTTTGATTCGAGCCAGGAAGGAGCTGGCAAGCTAGACTGGGCTATCGTGACCAGCTCAAACTTGAGTAAAGCTGCATGGGGCACATTTCAGAAGAATAACACGCAATTCATGATTCGGTCTTATGAGCTCGGTGTGATGTTTCTGCCACCGATTGCGGGGCACAAAGCTGGTGAAGCTTTGCCGCGTCTTGTGACGATTGGAAGTAGAGCTGCTGATTATTCCGACATTGCAGAATCCGGAAATTCATCAGCGGAGTTATTGCCGCTGCCGTACAACTTTCCATTGACTGCATATAACCCAAAGGAGGACGAGCCCTGGGTTTGGGATCTTGTGCGAGAGAGCCCAGATATTTTCGGGAATGTCTACATTCCGCACTAGGAAGGAAAAACCACCACCTGGAATGAACGTGTTGCGCTGTCCGACATGGCTAGATATACCGATAGTAGCTTTGAGTGATAAAACGATGCAAGGAAGATCTAAAGGCGACAGATAGGAGAAAACAATGAATATGACAATGTGAGGTGAGTGCTGTATGTTCCAACGGAACAAAAGGTGCCTTGGTGTTAGCTCTGATTGAGCGCTCTGTATTATCTATACCAAGAGGCGTTCTTCCGACGAAGAGCTAAGCTATTTGCACGAATGCACACAGCTGCAAAGCTGAGAAACTTGTGAGTAATATGAAAACGACGGCCTGAAGTGCCACTTTGCTGAGGACAACAATGTACAAGGATGTGTTTGACTACAGTTTGACGACTAGATCTCAAGTCGGCAATTGCATTAACGCCCAAGTGAACACGACGAGATTTTCCTGTGTCTCCAAAACGAGGCTATCCACCACGGATTTGGCGGTTGTGTCGACAAGTCCGAGAGTTTTACAACTTCTGCCAAGTCGTCGATCGGGGTTGGATCGGCTCTTTCCGTCAAAGCAAGGTTACTTGAGTCAAGAGCAAGCGTTGGCACGTTGAGAGACGCAGCATTGACGCGATCTTTTTCCAACGTGCTCGCTGGGGAGTCAGTTGTCCTCGTTTCGATCTGATGTGGTGTCAGTATTTTGACTGGCCGGAGAAATCGATTTGCAGCGTTTACTACGTCCAAGGCATGAACTATCTCCAATTTTGCTGCCTTGAGCTCTGTTTCATCATGGTCAGCGGAAGGTCCAAACACGAAACGATTCCAATTGAGCAGCTCTACGGACCATTTTTTGACGAGATCTGTGTTTGCGGCAAAGAATACAACATGGTAGCTGTTGTTAGTTACGTTTGGCGACGTTGCGTTGGGCGTTTGGGGCGTATACAACGCAACTGAATCGGCTTGCTCATTGCCATCGTTGATGTTGTCTGAACTCAAAGTATCTTCGACAAATTCTTGAGGTAGACGCATTTTCACGATTCGTGCCTTTATCTCGAAAATATTGAGTGAATACATGGTGTTAACCTCGAGACGATAGCTGGTCAACCGAAAAGATTCAACTGGCTCATTGACATCGTTCGGTGCCTCGTAGCCACGCAAATAGCCTGCTTCAATTACGTAGTAGAGTGCACGCGAACAAATTGGTTGGTTTGCATTGGACTGTTGTTTCGAAGTAGGACATGGATCCGGGAAGCATGCTTCCGTCGGTACCCGAATCATGTAGCCTTCCATTCAAAAGATGAAGAATTGAAGCTGTAAGTTATGCAGCTTTTTGAGTACGATAAGTCACACAGGGCTTTCAACGTTGAGTAACTTGAATAATGAGCATGTGATAGCACGATGTACGTCCTGAAAAAGTAGTCAAGGGACACAACGTCGCTATGAATTTCGTAACGGCCAAAATGTCTTGTCTTCTTCAACTTGTCTAGACGTCCTGTAGTCTACATACAGGCTATGACGGCAAAAAACGTACTCTGGACTTATTGAAACAACACGACGTCTTTTGAAGAACTTTGCAATGACACAATCTAATTCTAAAGCACGCGTTACTACTTGTAAGCTCCAGTTTTCAACTGACGCTTTCATGGAATTTTGGGCCTACCGGTCACACGACAGTCACGTGGCATGGCTGCGGGAAAGAACAGATAAACAACTAGTGGGAATTCTAAACGGATCAAGTATTCCATAACGCCTAGAATTCAATTGCTTCCCTTCAAATGGAACACTCAAGCGAAACGCGCGACCTTCTTGTAAAAACTAAAGCGTCAGAAAGGGGTGGCTTTCCTAGCAATAGCCGGTAAGCTCAGGTTCCACGTGTGAAGCGTTAAGAGAGCTGGTTGTAAACGGAAGCATAAGAGCCAGAAGTTAAGTTCTCATAAGACCGACAGATTGTACGTGACATATAAAGTAGAAGACGGTTGGTGCGTGAGGGAAAACAATATGACGACTTAGTGCCGAGAAACCAGCGTGCATGGTCAAAGATAACCACGACGCGACTGAATTCACATGAACTGTGCAATTGCATGAGGGATGAAGGTATGAACGATCGCTCTGCATGTTGTAGGAAGCTTTCGGAAGCTTTGTTTAAACAAATGAAACACGTCCAGACGCAAATGGCTTACGCAGTGAACATGTTGCAGCAATGACTTACATTTGAAAGATGTAAGTCATTGATGTGGTAGCTTTCATACGAGTTTTGTCCTTCTGTGGAGTAAGTAAGCCAGGGAAGAGGTCAAGAAAGAGTGTTTTGTTTTTCACGTTCAAATATGCAAGGTAGATACTATCTTTTTGACATATGAGAGCGTCGCACGTACGTACCCGACGATTCTTGAATAGTTTCTAGACGCTATCGTCTCGTCTTGAGAAGCGTTAATTTAAGTTTGTCTAAAACTGTGCTCCTCGCCATCGCGTAACTCGTGAAAGCTAATACTGTTAGTCCAAAAAAAAGTGCGACTTCAACAGATCAAAGATCCTTAAGCTCATAACTGCTCAGAACTCGTGCACGAAATTAATCAATTTGTGCTGAAACGACTTCAACTATCATAGCTATTACACAAGAAGTACCAGATTAGTCTTACGGAGGCCTTATAGAGGTGTTTAGAAGTCGCAGAGTAGAACAGGGCACGTGCGGCTCCGGCATTCACCACATGAGTTGCCAGTCGACTCCTAAAGCTAAACAAGAACCACACCTGTCCTACTGCTACCATGACCAAAGAATACGCGCTGGACGAGATCCGCCACCTGAAGAAGCTTGCACAGGAGTACCAAGCATCACGAACCGCTACTACTAAATCTTGTTGACCGCGCTGTTATCAGCCCGCGTTCGGCCAAAACTTGCCCAACAACAAACTCAATGCTTTGACAAAATGATATGACAATCATTTCATCTACAACGGTAGCATAGAGCCTCGAGTGTAGCCGAGCTACTGAAGCCACGCTACTTATGCACTATGTGCAGATGCACTATGTGCAGAAGAAGAAGTAGTCAAACTACTGTAGCAAAGCTACTTATGCACTATGTGCAGAGGAAGACAAGCTCAGAGAGCTTTTACGTCTCAGGGCGCTTAACTTTCCTAGGCTAGCTCGTAAGCTTGTGCCTATGGTATTAATAACCGAGTCTCACCTTTAGTAATACAATGACACGTATTTCACCAATGACGGTAGAGAGACTAGTATTAAAGATCCTGATTCCTTCTATTGGAATCGAATGCTCAAGCAGTGATGCTTATAGACCAGGTTTGACACTGATTTATATTTATGTTTATCTTCTAACACTAAATATAGACGCACCTATCCTATACTTAGTGCTAGTCTCTATTTACTGGCTCTTTAGCCTGTTATTATTATGCAAACATGCATAGTCACTATACTTTAAATAATATAGTGACCACGTGGCTCTCTGCCACGATGCGACCCTTCGTACTTCAGGTACGGTCACATCACCTACTTTTGTACCCAAGGTACAGCCACACCACATTGGTGTGGCAGGTGTGTATGTAAAATACACACCTTTGTGTAACCCCGTTACACCCTCCCCCCACCAATCCGTGGACCCGACGTACCCACGAATTTTCGCGCTTAATTGGAGGCACCGATTTCATTTTCTTCTCATGTTGCTTGCCTCACAATAAGTGCGTGCACTTGCACTTGCGTCTAAAGCTTCTGTGATTTTAACACTTGCTCCTTGAGCACCCGTGCCTTGCACACACGCTTTCTAAGCCTCCTTCTGTTACGACACTCGCTCTTTGAGCATATAGTGCATCGCACTCACGCTAAAGCATTAAGTGTTACGACACATGCTTATAAGCGTTAATTGCCAAGCACTTGGTAATCATTCCCTTTGAGTGTTTACAAACACTTGCTTTCACAGCACCAAGTACCTAGCACTTGCTTTAAGCATTACAGTGTTCACAAACACTTGCTTTTATAAAGCACTTGTCTCGATAGGGCTTGCTCCATCATGGATGAAGCAATGCGTCACGACATCTTTGGGGACGATGACAGTGACGTTGCCGCTAGGGGTGGCGGAGCCGAGTCACCTTCGGGTTAAGTACCTCAAGATCATCACGCTCACCAAGCGAGGGACGTCGATACCACTCTGTATCTTCGCCCCCAAAGGAGACAACCCCATTGCGCCAAGCGCCACCACTTCCCTCGAGAAAGGGTACTGACGAAGAGGCATCCAACCCTCTTGACGCTGCACAGCGTCGTCAACTCGATGACGAGGCCCGAGCGGCCGCTTTGGCACGGCGCAAACAAACGTTTTAACAACGTGATTATGGGTTCGTGCCCCGGGACCCCAATGAGGAAGTTTGACAAGCTGCATCGCAATCTTTGCAAGCTTATATCATTGGGTCTCATGCCCGTACGGCCTGCGAGAATGCAGATAGTGTTGCTCTTCTTGAGCGGCTCCTTACTCCCCAGGAGTTTACGATGAAATCGTACCAGGAGCGACTGTCATGACAGTCACGTGGGGTGCCCGTGAACCCACTAAACGGCATACCAGTGGTGCTTGCACCAGGTGAATCATCTGCACAAGATGATCACCAATTCACCCGTTCGGTAGAACGAGCATGTAAGCTCTCAAGTTTGTCAAGCTTGCGTTTAAGCGCTACAGCGCAAGACGTTTGGTTATAACGTCGTTTTAACTTCGCTAAGCTCAAAGCGAAACGTCAATTGCCTTCCACATACAGGTCAAAGATTTGTGGGGAACAAGCTTCTGAAGCTGTTGCCCGTACCTCTCACTCAAGTGATGTACCGACATCGGCTTCTTCTGAAGGCCAGAGGCAAAGCCAGCCTACTGACCCTAATTCCACAGCACCTAGTGCTAGGAAGCGTCCGACGACAGCTGTCGTCGCTTTTGACCGTCCTGGTCAAAGGCGTCAACGGCGTCAGGGCAATCCTGTCGGAGGGATACCTCATACTCCCACGAGTCATACGACAGGGGGTAACCCCTCCACTTCACCAAGGATTGGGTATGACCCTGGTGACGACGCCGAGCCAAGAGGAGTTCCACGTGGAGCTGTTGATGACCCCGGTCATCAATCAACGTCGGAGGAGGTCGATGACTCATTGACCTCTCATCTCTCTGAGACTGAGCGTCGCCTGACACTCTTGGAGCGTGATGCCCTTGCATCGGTGAGGTCTCACCTGTCATCGCTCGATGACCGTGTCGATCGACACCGTCGGTCTTTTAAGCGTTATCGCTCTGAGACCTCGGATCGCTTAAAGGCGATTAAGCGTTCTCAAGCCGAACTGAGATATCAGATCGACCTCCTGGTACGCCTTCAGCGTCCATATGCACCTTTGGTACAGTACTACCCGCCTCCTTTGGCCGGGTATTCGGGGACAACCCCTCAAATTTCACCGAGGCTGGGTTGAGGTATGGCTTAATTAAGCCCGCATAGAACACAAGATGTGTTCTCATCTTCTTCGGAAGGTTCAGCGTATAGGCTAAACCTTTCTTGCTTATGACCTTAGAGGGTCCAATAAAACGTGGCCGTAATTTAGTTTTATATACCGCCGAAACAGCACGGGTAGGTAAACATCTAGCGTTTAATAAAACTAAATCTCTCACTTTGAGCTCGTTTTCGTTCTTTCTGCCTTTGGAATCTGATTGTTCCTTTTGAACATCCTGGCTTTCAACCATAGCGTCTTTGACGCGACTTTATACGTCAAAACGCGTTGACAGAAACGCTTCCACCTTCTTGCGCATCGCACAGGGCTGCTATCAGCCAAGCCTATTTCGGCTATCTCTCCCCCACTAAGCCTTGATGTGGCAGGGGGTAGCGTTAAAGGAACGCGAGGGTTGACCAAACCATTCGCATAGAATGGGATGAAGCCTGCTGAGGCATGCACCGCGTTGTTCAACGCAAAATCATTGAGTGGGAGCATCGTGCTCCATTGCTTGGGTATTTCAGCACAAACAATGCGAAGCATATCGCCAATAACACGATTGACGCGTTCTGTCTGACCATCGGTCTGCGGATGATCCGCCGTGGACATGTCCAATCTAGCGCCCAGCACTTTAAAGACGGATGTCCAAAACTTACCCGTGTAACGGGGTCTCTATCCGAGACGATTGCCACAGGCAATCCGTGTTGTTTAAACACACGATCCAGGAAAAGCTTAGCTTTTTCTTCTCCATCAATGGAGTCCAGAATTGCCGCTAAATGAGTCATCTTGCTCAGTCGGTCAACAAAGACCACAATCCCAGTGTTGCCTGGCGCATC